GTCGCGTACGCAAAGAAACGTTTTAATTTGCAGCGACAGGCCACCGGTGCTCACACACGCGCACTGCATGAAGCATTGCCTCTGTGCCTCTTTACTCATGTACCTACTCTAGCTGTCCCCAGACAGTTATGCAACATGACATGCATTTGAACAGTGTATATGTATATTAATCCGTTGGTCCCGGCTGCATCTGCAGTCGTTAGCATCCACCAATCCGCACTGGGTCCGCGTGGTGGGTCATGGCCCAATCTCCCTATTCCATCTATAGGGAAGGCCTGTGCCCCAGCAGTGGGGACTTTAATAGGCTGATGATGATGATGATGATATGTATATTAGCAAACTGCAAGACAGAACGCACTTTTAGACACTTATATATACAGGGTGAAATTGAATGTTTCTATGAAACTTCGTGAGATTGATGGGTTACGTGTATAGAGTATGCCTGATTTTTTACGGATTTTTTAAAATAATTTTTTTCGTTTTTTAATTTTTTATTTGGTTATTTTTTTGTCATTTCTTCCTTATGAGTAATTATTCATTTTAAACACGTCTACATAGAAGTTATAAAGCAACTTAAAATAAGCACTACTAAAAAAACGGAAACTTAATGAATGCCTTCATTATGCCTCCAGTCGAGATCAGCGCCGGTCGGGGCGACGACCGGCGGCCGCCTGTAGGTACCTATTACACGCACAGATGACTCGGCGCTTACCTACTCTCCGTTTTGATCCACACTATTTAAAACAATACAATAAAATAGTCTTAGATGCTATATTATAATTATTTATTCACTGATACACAATACCTTTGAATATTATTTCATAAAGCACAGGTAATTAATCAATAAAATAAATCTTCTGTTAGAGCAATTAAAAATCCTATAAAGTTAATACGACTGTCACGATTTTAAATCGGTAAAGACTGACTGTTAGTGTAAGAACTTCTTTTTTATTGTTGATGTTAGTTGCCTCGTTTAATTAAAACTTGAGCAAACGGCGAAAAATTATACAGAGCAAATCGGTTTAACTTACGAGCTTAGTGAAGGAAATAACTCTTCGTGACTGATTTGCCCACGTCATGAAATTCCGAACACATTTAATCAGTCACAGTCACACAAACATAATATGTTGTTTTGCGGCAAGCACGGTGGGGCGACGCGCCGCCCGCACGCCCGCTGGCAAGACAAGTGCAGCGCTGGCGCCGGTCGCGGCGTCTTTGATGATGTGAATCCGTTTTCGTTTATAGTGCGCGTTTTCCTTTCAGAGAAGAAAGAAACAGCACGATTCGCCAAAGTTTCGCTAAAGGTGCGAATACACTAAATCAGTAATAGCGATGTATTGAACAATCTGACGCTAGTTCTCCAACATTTTTATCAACAAATGAATGAATTGTTGTGGATACAACAACTTTATAATTTTGAAATGTTAAATGTTTATCATGTTGTTCGATTAAGGCACTTCGCGCACTAGACGACCGCGGCCACGATCGTTGTGGACGTGGCCGCAACCTTGGTCGCAGAGGCGGTTGGGCTGCGGCCACGACCACGACTGGTCGTGACGCTACCATATTGCTGGTCGTTTATTTCATTAATTAATAACTCTGTATCAAAACTTTTTGTAGAAAAAAACGTCGTCATATTCAGTCGAGGAACGGTATGAAACATGTTCATTCACGAACTGTCCGCATGACCTTGACACTGAGATTGACCGCATTCGCTGTCGCAGATCTAGTGCGGGCCAGTACCACTGGTCGTTGCGACTATCTTCCGTATAGCTGGCTATGAGCGCTCGCGCTCTAGATCTGCGATCGCAAATGCGGCCTGGTCGCTTCAGCCATTCTCAGTGTCATGCTGATAGTTCGTGAAAGAGCACGCTTCGTGTCTTCCGCAACTCTATAGGACGACGATATTTTTCTGCAAAGAGCTTTGAAAGAGTTATTTATTAATGAAATAAAGAAACGACCAGTAATATGGTCGCTTTACGACCAGTCGTGGTCGTTGCCACAAACTTGTCCGCAGCCCAACCGTAGCTTCTGCGATCAAGGTTGTGGTGACGGCCACGGCCACGACTGGTCATGGTCGTGGCCTAGTGCACGACGTGCCTTAGTTAATCTGGTCCTCGCGGCTCCTGGTCGTGGTCATTATCGTCTAGTGCGCGAGGTGCCTTACTGAGGCAGTAACAAATATCAACGGCAGTTTTTTTTTGTAAATGTTTGACTATAGAAATACAAGGCTTTACTTTAGTCTTAGTCTTAGTAAGTAGTACGGCGCGGGCTATTTCGGCATGATTATGTGAAAGCACCTTAAAAAGTCCTGCCTTTTATGTACGCCGACGCTCGCCCGCCCACCTCCCCTCTTCCCCGCGCGCGGTGCTTTGCTTTGACTGCAATGCATGCAAAGGGCAGTCGCAAGTATATCAATCGCGCGTGCGCATCTTTTGACTTAGTGACAAACACTGTGATAATTTCATTATGCCTCGGTATACGAACCAAGAATATTTAGAAATGGTGTACTGCTATCGCGAGTGTGACGAAGTGCTCAGTAGAGCCGCAAGGCTTGCTTTAGGCAAGTATAGTGCAACAATTTTGCAAATAATAATTTTAGTCTCTTTTTTTTGCTAGCGTTAATACTTTTTGATTCGAAACAACTAATTAGTGTACTACCAGTGTGATTGATTTGATAAAAAGTTCTAGTGAAAAAAATGAATATGTTCCTCGTTCCTCGTTGTACCTACCTACATTGCCGGTCTCGTAAGTACTGTCTAATACCTAGTTATAAATTTCTTTCTGACCCAAGTATTAAACTGCAATAAGTATTTGTTTTTGTAACAAAATTATTATTAACTTTTTAGGTATTTTTCTCTGCTAATGAGAACATAACACTTGTTCTTTATTTAAATTTATTTATTATTAATATAGGTACGCGCCGCGTCAGCTGTGCGCGCGCGGTCGTTCCCCCCGGCGTCGGCCTCGCCTGGCCACATCAACTATTTTTCGTTTATTTTAGTAGTGCTTATTTATTTGTTATATTTCACTTACTATTAATTCCTTTTTTAAAAATAATTATCACTCAAAAGGAGGAAAGGACATAAAAATGCAAAATAAAAAAAAATAAAAAACGAAAAAAATAATTTTAAAAAATCTGAAAAAAATCAGGTATTCTCTATACACGTAACGCAATAATCTCACGAAGTTTCATAGAAACATTCAATTTCACCCTGTATATATATACTAGCTAACCAGTTAACCAAATGTTCACCAAAACCTGATTTAAAAAATGTATTTAATTAATTGAAAACTTCGGAGATTTTGTGTGGTTTCGTTTGAAATTATTTAGTTAAAAAAAAATTAACCTTTAAATAGTTACTTAAAATTGTGATAATTACAAAATAGAAATCACGTGATTTCTCGAAAACCGGAAGTGCTACGTTACTCAAATCCGGTTTGTAGTCTTATCAGACTATTCTTAACTTGTAACTTAAGTATTCTCTTTATCTATCTCTTACGGTTTGGCCGCTGAAACAGCACCACAGACAGACGGACGGACGGACGGACTTGTCTAATAGATAAGAGATAACACCAAAGGGCATCGTACTAAAAAACCAGAGGTAAATTTTCAAAAACAGGAGATTTTTGAAAATAAAAAAATACTGAAGAACTCATTATTATTATTTTATTTTCTTATTCGGTACCGCCCTAGTTAATAATAAACAGAGAGGGCATTAAAATTATCTAGAATCGGCAATTGTGCCATAACAGCAAGTGAACATTGAGTTACTAGTGGCTGAATGTGCGCTTGGTCTTAGTAAGGCAGCCGCAACTTTAATTACAATTACAGATGTTATTGAAATGTGAGAACAAACGACTGAATCGCAAATTTGCGCAGCTGATTGCATAAACATGTGTGAACTAATTACGATGTCCTGCAGCTCACACCCGAAATTTTTTAGCATCGAGTGATTGTCAGTTGTCGTTGATAGGTTTACGCCCAGTTACAATAAATCAAACTATAGTAAAGATTAACAAAATCTGGTTTCGTTTCATAGTAAAAAAAATAGTTTGTACTAATTAACTAAACTTATTGAGCTCTGAAAACTCATCTCCTACTGGAGATTGAATAATGAATCCCGCCGTCAGTCATACAACTTATTTATAAATCTAAAGATTATTTACTAGTAATTTTTTCTTTGGATTCATAAATGTAGCAATTAAATGCAAAAAATTAAAAGTATAATAAAACACGACTATTATATTTTTTACTTTTATTCGGCCCACTTGAAGTCAGTCTGACAGGTAGCTCATGTGACAATGAGACATGTAACATTTTCCTAGACAACCACCAATTCAAGTCGAGTTAATGTCATAATACGATAAGAGGAACAGCTCATACATAGCCAATGCACGAGCTCCGTACTTAGTACTGACTACCTAAGATGCTAGAATGCAGCCGGGACCAACGGCTTCACATGCCTTACGAAGCATATAGAAAGTAATCGAGTTATACACTGTTTCGACCGAGAAACTGCATTGCAGTTTGGCAGAAAATAGTTTTTAAGTGTTTTTCCTGTCTGCGTTGGAAATTAGCAGCTGTTGCATCTATTTTATGTTTTGATCGCCACCAAACTAGCATGTGAATAAAATTCTGATTAAAAACAGAAAGCCAGGTCATCGCTGTTTTCCTTCTTGAATTAGAGCGCTCGCGCACGTTTAAAGAACTAATCTCCACCTTTCATAAGACAATAGTGAAAGTGAAATCAATACCTTTTGGTGGTCTTGTGTTTGTGTTGTAGTTGTTTATTGCCAGGGGCAAATGATTGGACTTAGGCTGACAAAGTGTGAATGGAAGGAGTTGGAAATTATTCTACTGCATCAGTTTATTTCGCAACTAGAATCCTATACATCATACATACATATACATCAAATAGGGCAGCGGCAATTTCCTGTACCTTATACCAAACTCCATCACATTAAGGTACAAAACAACTTTATTTTTCTTTTAACAGCATTTGCAACCTGTATCGTTGGAGATACCGTGCCCTAGGCGACTTGAGCCACGTGACCCGGCTGCCGGAGTATAGAGCTGCGAATGCCGGGCTCAGATTCGACTTCCAGCTGATCAACGTAGACGACTTCAACGGGGCCGGCGAGACGGAGCCCAGCCCTTACTTCTATCAGGTCGGTTGCATTTAGCAGTATGACTACCAATTCTAAAACAGTGTAACCATATATTGCAAAGCAGAGGGTAAGTAGAAAACTAAAAAATAAAAAGGAAAGGAACGAAAAGGTAAATGAGAAAACAATTTCAATGTGTATCCGTAATAGGATTTAGATTCATAATATTTATCAAGGGATTCCTAAAAAGTAAAATCTCACGCACATTTTTATTGCTCTGTATCCAAAGGTGTTTATAGAGATCGTTGGTCAGTATAATGCCGCAATTACATTTGGTCGTTGGCCCGTATTCGGGTGCACGATAGACATTACTCGAATTCGGGCATCCGAATCAATATTTACACTGGAATACAGGCTGGAAGACGGTGTCCGGTAAACAAGAGCAAATCTACCCGAATACGGACATACTCGACTCCTTTCGCTTACACTTAGTCGTTTACCCAAATTCCATTGGCACTCGTGAATACGAGATGAATCGCTAGTCCGAATGGACTAGCGATCAAATGTAATCTATATATATATAAAACTCAAAGGTGACTGACTGACATAGTGATCTATCAACGCACAGCCCAAACCACTGGACGGATCGGGCTGAAATTTGGCATGCAGGTAGATGTTATGACGTAGGCATCCGCTAAGAAAGGATTTTGATCAATTCTACCCCCAAGGGGATACAATAGGGAATGAAAGTTTGTCAATTTTAAACCGATCGGGCTGAGACTTTGCATGCAGGTATAAGAAGAATCATAGATGAATGTCATTGTGTATAATACAAGCCTGAGAACAAAAACTGTAGTCTACACTTCAGCTCTACACCGAAGCGAAGCGAGGGCAGGCCGCTAGCCGCACCATAAAACTAAAGTGTTTTCATTTTTGTAAGCATAAACTTTGCAGCACAATAACATGCCCACTTTCACCACCTGAAACTAATCATGGTTTTTTTTTAATTCATTATAATTTACTTCTTGTTGTTTGGTTCCAGAATTTAGCAGAGGCAGAATACGTGGTGGCCGTATTCATGTACATGCGTTTGATTGGCTGGCCAGCGGAGCGCGTGTCCATTCTGACCACTTACAACGGACAGAAGCATCTCATACGGGACGTGATCGACAAACGTTGCGCCGACAATCCGCTCATTGGACGCCCGCATAAAGTGAGTAATCGCAACATTACATAGATTAGGAAGCTACATTTATGGCACGAGAAACTGTAAAGGGAACCCGGCATTTTATGCTCAGGTTTTATACTTCTTGTTTTTTTTTCTGTAAATACAAAAAAAAACATAATCTGGAATATCTGTCAATGGGAGCTTTCCATTTATCTACATTGCAGAATCCAGATACAACAATTGTTAAATCAGACATGAGTTCCACGTACCAGTAACAAGACTAAAAAAAGAAATGGCAGTCTGGATAACCCATTAAAAATTTGTGAAATCAAATTTGAGTTATTCAGTTACCGTATACTATTATTATATTTGTTTGATTAAAGTTACTAATATTCAGCTACTTTAGAAATAGTTTTAAAGTTACATTTCTGCCCTAAGCTGATTCAGTGTTTCACGAAAAATCTAACAAAGCTTGATTTATGTAGGAAATAAACTCGCTTTATTTTGAAACTAAATTCAATTATTCTTGTTATGATTTTTTTCTATAAAAAGGGCCAGTCCATCTTTTGTAAACAATCGGAGGTTCACAATATTGAAATTTAATAACTTCATAGGGCAAGCCTATTCCAAATTAGTAAACAACACACTTTCTTTTAATTATTGAATCGAGTTTTTAATGTCCGCGTCCTTGTACCCGAAAAAGATAATTAGAGCGTTGTGTACATACGCCTATCAGAATGTGTACCTACTTAGTACCGCTGAAGCAGAATTTGAGATCATCTGTACCAATTGGTCGTCTAAAAATAACGCTATATACACAATCGTTTCATGAAGGTGATTCCCACAATTACAAGGAATGTGGGAAATTAACTATTGTTTATCAATCATTCAAAATAACCAAAATAATTAATAAAATGTTCAAATTACTTTTAATCAATCAAAGAACCCTGAGTTTATTAACTATGTTAGAAAATATTCCAAATTGTTTAAAAGCATATGTAATACTGCAAAGTCAAATTTTATTAGGGATAAAATTAAAAAATCTAATAATAAAATAAAGACCACTTGGGATGTCATTAAGCTCGAAAGTGGCAAGTGGAAGCCTCGTGAAAATAGCATGGTTCTTAAAATCAATAATAATCTAATAAAATCGAAACATGAAGTCGCAGATATTTTCGATAATTTTTTTTATGAATATACCATTAGAAACTACTTCCAACTTGGATTTATCGTCTGATACTGCTACAGCTCTGTTACAAAAATATGTACCTCCGTGTGGTTTATTATTTAATTTCAAGCACGTTAGTTCTTTTAAAATAATTAAAGTTTTCCATTCATTAAAAATGAAAAATGCATCTGATTTATGGGGTATATCTGTCAATGTCATAAATAATATTATACATTCTATAGCCCCTTACCTAGCTGATATTTTTAAACCATGTATAGATCAGGGAGTATTCCCTGATCTTACGAAATTCAGTAAAATCATACCTTTATTTAAGTCTGGAAATTGTAAAGATCCTAGTAACTATAAGCCAATATCTATATTACCATCATTGAGTAAAATCTTTGAAAAAATAATGTTAGAACAATTGTTGACTCATTTTAACATTAATAAACTTTTACACAGAGCGCAGTACGGTTTCACTAAAAACCGTTCCACGACTGATGCTGGGGCCACTATGCTAAAATATATATTTAATGCTTGGGAAAAGTCGCAGAATGCTCTTGGGGTTTTCTGCGATTTATCTAAAGCCTTTGATTGCGTTAATCATCAAACTTTGTTACGGAAATTAAATCATTACGGCATAAAAGATTCCGCACAAAAATTAGTGCAATCATATTTAACAGAAAGGACACAAATAGTTGATATTAACGGTACAAAATCAGCCGGATCTCATGTGAAAATAGGCGTTCCTCAGGGTTCAATTTTAGGTTCATTTCTTTTTTTAATTTACATTAATGATTTACCTTTCTTTGTAGAAAATTTTTGTGAAATTGTTTTGTTTGCAGATGACACCACGCTAATTTTTAACGTTGACAGGTGTAAAACAAATTATGACGATGTAAACAATGCACTTTCCAAGGTACTTTACTGGTTCTCTTCTAATAATCTTAAACTGAATGCGAGCAAAACTAAATGTGTGAAATTTACTTTGCCGAATGAAAAACATGCTGAAATGGGGGATATAATTCTAAATGGTGAAAAACTAATTTTAGTCGATAAAACCGTTTTCTTAGCCGTAACACTAGACTACAAACTTCAATGGAACCCTCACATTACAACACTAGCCGGCAAACTAAGTTCTGCTGCTTATGCAATTTATAAAATAAGACGGCTTACAGATGTCGACACTGCTAGGACAATATACTTCAGCTACTTTCACAGCATTATGTCGTATGGCATTCTATTATGGGGCACGGCCGCTGACATTGAAACAGTTTTTATTCTTCAAATAAGAGCTATTTACCGCTTGGGATCTCGAACTTCTCTTAGGTATAAATTTAAAGAAATAGGTATAATGACTGTTGCCTCTCAATACATTTACAATTATATATTGTTTGTGCGTCAGAACATAAATTTATATACGAGGCGCGATGATGTACATAATTTCAATACCAGAAATAAAGATTCACAGACAGAAGACAGAACTCAAATTGCCCCCCCACATTGAGACTCCAAAAGGTTCTTGGTTCATTTGTGGATCAAGGTATATGTTACTATAGTAAAATACCAAAATAAATAATTAATTTACCTTTTAATAGGCTTAAAGTTTGTATAAAAACATAAAAACATGTCTCCTTAAGAAAGGTTACTATACTGTTAAAGATTTCAAAAATGATAAGTCACCTTGGGCTTAACATAATAGACTGTCGTTTTAATTTGCTAATTTGGTTGAAAATTGTTTAATCGCCACTTCTAAATTTAAAAATAGTACCTAGCTATACTTAACTTTTGTTAATTAATAATATTAATGTGATGGAAGTTGACATCAACACATGTATTAAATTTTTGATGTCATCTTTCGAATTTGAATTTAATCGTTGTTGGTTGTAATCGTGTCTACATATTCAATTTTTACGATGATACTTCGTACCCTATTCTCGAAAATACTGGAGACACATTTTAACAGAACACCGTGAGTCGCTTATTCTATTATGAGCCTTATGCAGTGGGAGAAGCGTAAGGGACAAGTGCAACGATATCTGCACTTATTTACAACTTATTCACGTTACCTACGTAGCTATAAGTAGGTACAACGCACTCGCGGGTACTACCCACTTTTCTAGAATGCGTCGATTAGCGTTAAAAGCGCGATTGGCGCCGCGCAGAGACAGTTTTACTTTCAATAAAATAAATTATACGGTTTAAGATTCCGCTCTTATTATCATTCTCTCTAAAACATGTTAAGAACTACACAAATTTAGTATTAGGTTAGAAAATGTTTCAAGAAGAAATTAGCCCTAATAATGCATCAGATATGCATTATTAGGGCTAACTTCTTCTTGAAACATTTTCTAACCTAATACTTAGAGAGAATGATAATAAGAGCAGAATCTTCCCATTAACTCGCTAAAAGCTTCCCAGAAATTCAATTCAAGTGTCTATTCAGACAAAGAAACCAATTTATCATACGAATCGAAGTTTGAAATTAAAGAAACCCAATAATATTCTTTGGCATCTCTCCATTTGCGAATGTACTTGAACGCTACATGGACTGCGCGTCTGGCTCGCAAAAAGTTAATTGAGCTTTATTGAACCAAATCGTTCCGTTGACTCAGAATGCTGATTGTAATGATGATGACGTGGCATTTTGTCTTCCTACTTTTGAGAAGCAATCAATCTATTTACTAGTTTCCTTGTGAATTAGTATATACTAGTGACCCGCCTTTGCTTCATTTAGATTTTTTCTATTATACATTTAATCCTTCCGAGAAATATAACAGATTGTAAAAAACGCATGAGAATCTGTTGTTTTTGGGATTATCGCAAACATACAGACCGACGGGGTTGCAGACTATGTTTTTATTATGAGTGATACTCTCACTTGATTATTTATAAAAAATATATATAAAAAATTATCAGGATAACATTGGTTAATTAATTATTTATACGAAAATGAGATAAAATATTTTAATAATAGATGTATTTTCCTGTTTTAATTATTATTAATTAATCCCTAAATCTTTAAATAAGACAACCTTCGATCAACAATACACTATATAACTGATAAAACTGTAAAAACCGGCGGAGCAAATAACGCCTAACTTCAAAGTGGGGTATTATTACAATTTGGTTTTCTTTTCTTAAATTGCGCCAACGTGCTAAATAACAGATAAACTATATATCAAAATTCGTAATTGCTACAATAAGGTGTCTAACGATGCAATGCGTCGCCATTTTTATAATTCTGTCACTACCGGAGATGCTCCAAAAGTCTGGAAAATTCTCAAATCGTTCGGTATTGGAAACTGAAAGAAAAACACCCACGTCCCTAATAATTATTTGGATTCTCTCAATACTTATTTTTCTCCTTCATCTGGTATTAATACCCCAGTTAAAAATATTAGTGAACTTGATGCCATACCAATACCAGACTTCTCTCCCTTTTGTTTTGTTAAATTTTCGGATTGCGATGTTAAGACGAGCTTACTATCTGTAACTTCTATCTTATGCGATAGATAGTGACGGCATTAGTCCTAACTAGAGCATGGATACCGGTTTTCGGTAATACCGATAAACCGGAAATATCGGCCTAAAAGATGATATCGAAAAACCGGTATTAACTGCTATTTACTATTGGCGCCCAGGCCAGAGAATGGTGACGCGAAGAAATAAAAAAGCGTTAAAAGAGGCCGGACCTCAATCTCAAAAAGGTGACCAACACCTTTTTGAGATGTTTTTAGCACGCGAATTACATACACTTGCGTTATCTGTTTTGATCAATGTCTATGCATCGCACCTATTAGTGAGACTCGTAATGACTCAAATAAATATTATTGATATCATTTGAAATATTAGAATTTATAAGAGCTACATCACCCTATTTACAATACTCGTCTTTTTTTTCTTCTAATACCGAAAAAATACCGAAACACCGGTTTTCGGTATTAAAAATTACAATACCAATTCTTGACAATTGTCCTACCTGTCCTAACTTTCCTTATCAACAGGAGATATATTTCCTTCTATTTTACAAAGACACCCAAATTGTCCCTTTTCCTAAAGTACGCAACCCCATAGTCCTGTCCTAATATAGTCCTATATCCATTCATCCCTTTTTATCCAATCAGGATACGTCTTGACCATAGCACACGAGTCAAGGTAACTGATATCATCAGACTTGGTATGGAAAACAGTTACCTAACATTGCTAACATTATTAGATTCTTCTGGTCGTGTTACGGTCTCTTAACACGTCACTAACGCTAATTGACTGTTCGCCTTTTTGGTAAATTCTCGTCATGGTGCAACTTGCTGGATACAAGTTCTGTGCAATGCCTCAGTTGTGTTTAAAACTGTAGAAATATCGAAATAGGAAGTTATAGGTATTTTTTAATGAAGATGACGGCCGATTCTTGCAAACACGATCCTATTTCTGGTCTGTGAAATTCGATCGGTGAGCATAGTCATTCTTGCGTCAGAGATTTTATATACTACGCAGTCAGGCCATAAGTATTGTCACACAGTAAAAACTTTTCTTTTAGAATGCTGGCCACAAAAAAGTTTATTGAATTCTAATTTCGAATTGTTCATGAAAATAAAAATGTATACTTTTTAGAATTTTACTCATTTTTAAATATGGAGTGGACGCTTAAAGAAGACCGTGTTGCATTTATTGCGTTGCATCGTTGCGGTTACGTGCTAATTCAAATTTTTGACATACTGAAAAATTTGAATATAACCAAAAGATTCGTTTACCATCAAACGATACAATGAAGACTCTAGTGTAGATGACAAGTCAAGAAGTGGTCGCCCTCGGTCTGTTAGGACTCCCGCAGTGATAAAAGCTGTGAAGGCGCGAATTCAAAGAATCCCAAACGTAAGCAGAAACTGTTGGCGCTTCAGATGGGGTTAAGCAGAACCACGGTGAAAAGGGTGTTAAATGCAGACTTAGGGCTTCGCGCATATCGAAGAAAAACAGGACATCGTTTGAATGCTCGTCTAATGGACCTGAGACTAAAGAGATGCCGCGCTTTGTTGAAGCGGTACGCGGGAAAAAAATATCGGGAAATTATTTTTTCGGATAAAAACATTTTTACCGTAGAAGAGAGCTACAACAAACAAAATGATAAGGTGTACGCACACAGTAAGGTGTAAAAACGAATGCAGTTGTGTATCAAAATACAGTCCTGACGAACCTTGTGGAACCTGTTTCTCATACCATGTTCAATAACAGGCACTGGGTATTCCAACAAGATTCGGCGCCAGCTCATAGAGCGAAGAGCACACAAGGCTGGCTGGTGGCACGTGAAATCGACTTCACCCGCACGAAGACTGGCCCTCCTCCAGTCCAGATTTGAGTCCGTTAGATTACAAGATATGGCAACACTTGGAGGAAAAGGCGTGCTGAAAGCCTCATCCCAATTTGGAGTCACTCAAGACATCCTTGATTAAGGCAGCCGCCGCCGATATTGATGTAGTATATGGTGTGATAAATTGGGAATAAATGAAACGTCCAACTTACAGCTGACTCCGTCCGTCAATGTAATCCCATAAAGCACATATATACACATTAACAAATAGAAGGCAAAGACGGTACAAGATATCAAGTCCAAGCACAGCACTAGATAGATAGATAGATAGATAAATCATTTATTCCCATCAGTACAGCACACAAATTCAAGTAAAAAAATAGAACAATTAATTACTAGGTATGTAACTGTGTGCCGCAACGACAACGACACGACACAACGACAACGACGCACTAGAAGAATACAGTCAGAAAGATAGGCGATAGATAAACAGTTTATAGAAACGAAAAGCACAATTATATAAAGCGTACAGATCTAAGTATATAAGCGAGCTAAGAGAAGCGTGCGCTCCGCGTCATAGTTCAGTCTCGACTGGTTTGGTAGACAGCGCGCAGTGTGACCAGATTAAATTTTACGAAAATACCGAGGCACCTCAAAAAAATACTGAAATATACAGACTTACATAGGACAGATATACCAATAGAAATACTGATTTTCTTAACACATTTTATTTATTCATACGTACTCACAATAAATGTTAGAGTAATATTTTAACGTCCTTTTCGAAGGATTAAAATTTACACAACCTCCATCATTTCTTCACGCTCTATCTAATAGTGCAAACCGCATTAAAATCGGTCCAGCAGTTGTAAAGTTTTAGGCGAACATACATTCTGCAAGTCTGATTAATACTATGTATTGTTATCAATCAATGTATGTAGTATTACAATACTACAACGCTGACAACGGCCGTCTTTCTTGTCATATCTGTAACTTACTCATAGATAACATGTTTAAGTATAGGTAAACTAAATCCGGGGAAGTCCCCAATGTTCGCGTTCCGGGGAATTCCGCAAACATTGTCGCAAAGACGATCACTCACTACGGTGTTGCCATAACTTCTACCAAAATACACCCAAAAATACTGACTGCCAGCAATATACCTGAAAAAATACTGATGTTCGGAAAAATCGATGAAATATACTGAAAAAGTATTAAAATACTGAATCTGGTCACACTGTCAGCGCGGCGGCGCGCGCGCATCTCTAGTACATAAGATAGACAAAAGAATTATGTACAAGACTATCCGCTAGTGCGTAGGGCGTGTCGAAAATTGCTATCGATATATCGACAAACCAGTACACCATGATATGTAATGAGAATAAAATATTGGAAATATAATTATAGTACTTATTATAAATTCTATATTAGATATTAATAATTATTGATAGATATAAGATGTAAATATATAGTGTAAGATATATAGTGTAAGATATTTAGTGTTACGGTTTTAAATATAAGTTACTTTGTATATTTCCTTATAATGAATAAATTTAAATTATGCTTTATGTGTACAGTGTAAATATAGTTTGAGGATGTATTCACACCTCAAAGTAGCCTACATTGACAAGGACCTCGTTCGTGTTGCGTTAGACGACTGGCTGCGCAGATTGAAGGCCTGTATTCAAAATCACGGAGGACATTTTGAATAAACTTTATTGTCATAAGAATCTATGTTTTGTTAAGTTCATTTTGGTATATAAATGGTTACATAATGAATAAACTTGTTTCAATTATTTTATATTAAACATGTGACAGAATTTATGACCTGACTAGGTATATATAAGATAAATGATTAATATAGCATGCTTGAGTGACTTACTATATTGAAGGGGTTGTAATAAATACATAACAAATATTTTTATACATGAAGGTGACAACAGTGGACAAATACCAAGGGCAACAGAACGACATCGCCCTGGTGTCGCTAGTGCGGACTAAAGCAGTCGGCCACGTGAGGGACCTGCGGCGACTCATAGTGGCGGCATCGCGAGCCCGTCTGGGACTGTACATATTCGCACGCGCCAACCTCTTCCGGAACTGTTTCGAGCTACAGCCCACTTTTAACCAGGTGAGATGGCAAACTTTAACTTCCTCCCATTAAGCCAATAACTTTGACTTATAGCGGCCCCGTTGTGAGTCCGTCTAGGACTGTACATATTTGCGCGCGCCAATCTCTTCCAGAACTGCTTCTAGCTACAGCCCACTTTTAACCAGGTAAGATAGAAAGCTTTAAGTTTCCCCATTAAACTTATATCTTTGACTAATAGTGGTGGCGTCGCGAGCCCGTCTGGGACTGTACATATTCGAACGCGCCAATATCTCTCGGAACTGCTTCGAGCTACAGGCCACTTTTAACCAGGTGAGATGGCAAACTTTAACTTTCTCCCATCCGTCTGGTACTGTATATATTTGCGAGGGCCACTCTCTTCCGGAACTGCTTCGAACTGCAGCCTATCTTCAACCAGGTGAGGTAGTAAAATGGAGAACATAATTAACATATTGGTTCCTTTTGTTGTTAAGCTTATATGTTTGCCTGATAGTGGCGACGTCGCGAGCCCGTCTGGGACTGTACATGTTCGCGCGTGCCAATCTCTTCCGAAACTGCATTAAACTCCAGTCCACCTTAAATCAGATAAGAAAGAAAACTTTAGAAGCTCTTTCCGTTAAGCTCTGTCATCGTTATATTAGCCTATTAATGTCCCCCACTGCTGGAGTACAAGCCTTCCCTATGAATGGAAACGGGCGCAGTGCAGATTGGTTGGTGCTAACGGCATAACGTGCCTTCCCAAGCAATCCGTGCTTGAGCTCGAGATAATAATTTTTCACCTTTAGCCAGGTGATATAGAAAAAATATTGGTTACTTCCGCTTAATCATTTTCTATAACAAGCGCCCCACATACTCTTATAAAACGCTGACGACGATATCAGCCTCTGTAAAACTGTTATTCTTAAATAACTAGTGTTTTTTGGCTGTTCTCCCCGTAATGTATGGGACACTTTTACATGCGAGTACTCCAATCCAAGCATTAAACCTATGATATACCAATTCGCAGAAAGTAACGTAAATATCAAGTTATCACTGATGTATTTAAAAATCACTTCGTAATTTTAAAGAATTATATTCATATTAAAGGACATCCCATGAATTGTGCCTAACTGCCTACATGATTTCATTCATGTTTATATACTTCTGACTTCTTAAACTGGAAGCCAATAAATTGTAGTTGCTCCAACGGCTCCAATTAGTTTTCTCAGTAAGGTGTTCGTAAACACAAGTAAAGTGTTATAAACCAGATTGTTCATAGGGTTGTCGACATCACTACATCTTAGATCTCCGAAACGATATTTAAATCTCAACTACAACTTATTCCATATTAACTTCGACATCTGGGTCTAGTTTAATTTACAATCCATTTCAATAATCGATTTCCACTAATGCTGGGGCCCCACTAACGGGAGACGCCGTTTAGAGCTGCGATCAGATCACACGCGTACTGTACCTTAGACAACCATTATCGCGATAATTAATGGCCCTTTTCGTTAGGGTGGCCCCAGCATAACAATTATTTTTGTTAATTAATTCAAAATAACAACAGTAAAAATGTAACGAAAATAAGCTGTTCTTTTACTAGATATTGATTATTGAAACTGGCCGTTAAGCCGACAGAGGACATTCGTAGACCGATAACGATGATGATAAACATATAGATGGCGATGTCTTTTCAACAAGGCAACTATAGAAAAAAATAATTAAACCATATTATACTCATCTTGGATAGAAGTTCTGTACACATTGCATACCATTGGAAATTTTACCTTCAATCTATTTTCAATCAGTAAACAAAGTGTATTCTTACTAAAGTAAACTATATTTTCTATAAACTTTTGCAACGATGATATTAAACATTATCTTACATAGTAATAGGGTAATTAATGAAATGCTTTTTTAAATAGGGTAATTGTAAATCTAATAAACAGACCACATCATTAATATGTTTTCTTTGTCTGATCAAGCGATTTCCAACAAGCGTTTTGTTTCAAATCGACAACGCTTCATGTATCGTGACATCATAATGATTATTATCATAACAAGAATGCTAATAATCAAAGTATAATATAATAATCAAGATCAAAAGTTGAAACACTTGCATTTTTTTTATTGTATATGCTGTTGGTCGCATATGACCTTTACAGCGTCACCGGGTTTGGGGACGGCGCGATCCTAAAGGGACCTCAAGCTGAGAATTGGCGAGTGCCTCTAGAGGTATTCTAGGCGGATTCCATCTCCCCGCGGGGGGAGTCACCTCTCCGTCTCGAGCCTCTAGACCACTCGAACCTGAGAGGGTCGGCTCAACTAGAGGGCGTCTCTGAGACTCGAACCTCGGCTCTTGCAATAATAATAATAATAAATAACTCCCACATTTTTGGCAGTTAGTGGAGCGTCCCTTGGAACTAGAGTTGGTACCGGGGGAACGGTACCCCGCTCAAAGGGGAGCGGGGGCGACGGTACCCCCCTCCATGGTGCTCAGTATTCGTGATATGCCGCACATGGCGAGATATGTGTACGACATGTATCTGGATAACATACGGGACGTCAACAAACCGGTGAGTGACATTATCTATACATATAATTAAATGGTTGAAAAGTCAAAACTGTACATTGAATATTTTTTTAAAGAATACTTAGGGTGTGATCTTCAATCGATACCGAAGCCAAAAATATAGATTTTAGAATTTTTGTCTGTTTCTCTGTATGTATGTCCGGGATAAACTCAAAAAGTACTGCATGGATTTAATTCAAATTTGGCACGAATATTATTAAGAAGTCGGGTCAACATATAGCCTACATATTATCACGCTATCACCTACGGGGAACAAGCAGTGAACCTTTATTTCTTCAACGCATTCTGTAACAACGAATAACTAACTCCACGCGTACGAAATCGCGGACGGCCGCTTGTGTGAAATAACTATGTTCCCAGGAACAGGTACCGGGGCACTGAGCAATCCCACTAAACTTTATTCAACTTCCTTTGAGCCAATAGATAAACAAATAAACCAATGTGTCCAAAGAAATCGTCATATTATTAAATAAAGAAGTTTCTGAAATAATTTACAAAAACTAAAAGGACATGCATCGGTGTAAACAAATTGATTACAAAATTTCATATTTCAACGTGAATTATTTGCTTTATGGCTCCTCCTCAATTAAGTTGTATTATAATGAGTTTAACGTTTGGGAATAGGTACAGTTTAAGGGTCATTTTCAAATTCCTCGCAGGTTTTCGTGTCCTTCCAGATTCTATATTTATATTTTTTTTATTAATAATAATTGTTTGCTGTGAGTTATATAAATTAAAAACAATTTAATAAAGAAAACATACAACAGTGGGATGAAGCGCGTGTGTTTAATCAGCAGCCACATTTTTACCGATACTTATACGTAAGTAATCAGTATTTTTTATGTTTTATGTTATATATGTAGTATGAGGTGGGCATTTCTTTAAGATGTAGCAATTATATCACTTTATGCTTTATATTATGATTAATTATTAAATGAATATAAAATTTACCATTCTGTTATCGATAGTAACATAGTTGTAAGCTGAGTAACGGCGTAGTTTTTTGTTCAGTTTGTGCCCTCATTTGTATAACAATTCGAGTGATAATACATTTAATCTACGAAAATATAAATCTTAATGGTATTAAATGTTTTGTTTCAGGTCTTTTTGTACTTCTGCCTGCTTTCTAGGATGGTTCTTACGCCTGCTGAAAAACAGCGAAGTTATAGGGAACGACGTAAAAATAACACTAAAAGAGAGGCAGCAAATAATAAAAAGAGAAAAACAGACCATGCAAAGAAACGTTTAGTTAGAGATTTAACGAGCAGGGAACACAGAGCCATTAAAAAAAATGGCGAGCTGCAAATGCCAACTAGAGAGACCGAGCCAAGGCTCTTCGTATAGTAAATGCACACTCCAGAATCTTCACCTGGAATTATGACACCAAAACGTTTACGTACTCCAAGTCCAGAAAGTGAAAATCAAGTAATTCCACGAGTTTTGCCGCCGCCGTTTATCAACACCCCAAAGATAGTGGAAAAAACTGCAAAAAAAATGGATAGCGATCAATTTATCTTAGGAGCCTTTTGAAAATTTACTTACAATTGTCCCAGAGCCAAAAAGAGTATATAAAGACAAAATAAGGTTCTCCCAGTTTGATGCTCCGTTAGAAATATTTGAGAAGTAATGATCTCGTTTTCATTATGATTAAAAATAAAACCCAAATTGTTATTTTTATGTAGTCACTAGTTTCAAAAACCTTTAAGTCTAAAATGTTGAGATCTCATGATAGAATTTTTAAGATTAAAATAAGTATAGTACAAGTTTTTAGGCCAGGTGTTATAGAAAACCACAACTGTTACTTTTACTGTCCCAAAGATGTATGGTCTAACAATTATAGATAAAACTAGACCTTAACATATTTAAAGTGGGCTCTGAAGCAGTATATAAGATTCATAGCTTTCATTGTAGAGTAATTAGATGTTAAAATAAAGACTTTGTAAGATTTAAGGCAAAATATAAAGTTTGTTATTTAATAAAAGGTAACAGAGTTGCATATGACTTTATTTTAATAAACATAAACAATAATATGAAATTTAGTTTATGTTTGTTTTTGAGAGTTTAAAGACAAATTATATTTGTAATACCTAATTATTTGTGATTCATAAGTTCATTATTTAAATGAAATAATATTTCCATTGGTAACAGAGTAGTATTTATTTGCGCCAAGGGACCTTAAATCTATAAAATAATTCAAAATTATTGAAAAAACATCGCGGCCAATAACAGAATACCAAAATTTTATGTTTATTTTTGTCATAAATTCATAAAATACAAGTAGAAATAGTTTATAAAAAATATATTTTATGAAGTTAACGTAAGGAAAACCTGCAGAGTTTTTGAAAATGGCCCTTTTATGTATATAAAATTCGACCTTTTGAAAAACCTGGGGCGTGGCACACGCTTATGCAGCATAACTACATTAGCTTGGTACAAGTTGGTGCCCTAGTAAGCTGTGTTTAATAAGGATGGGGCGGCGGTTATAGCTAGGCTCTTTTATTTGATGTATTTAAGTTATACAGCTCTATACCACAGCGAGTGTGCTGAGGAGTTGTTCGCCCTTATCCTACCTTCCCTTTTTCCCCTCCCCTTCAGAGCACCACTCGTGCTGGCCTACGTTGTCACCGACTTACTGTGGCCACTATTCCAACGTGAACAAGGTTTGGTGACTCAAGCTTTGTCGCGCGGCCCGCAAATGGAATACTTTGCCCGCTTACGTGTTCCCTCCTTCCTACAACCCGAGATCCTTTAAAAGTGTGAAGAAGCAACTTGCAGGCTGGCAATGTGTGGATGACTGGTTTGGTAGGTAAAACATCCATTCCAACTCTCTTAGCGTTTGGACTCCACCATCACTTAACATCAGCTGGGGTGGAGTCATTTCAATTCAATTCAAATATTTTTTTTCAGAACTAGGTTCCATAATGTTAGTTACATTTGATTTACTTATAAAAGTTAATTATTTATAAGTAAATCAAATGCAATTTGTCGGACTTTAAAAAAATGTGTGATGGGACACGAAGTTGAAGTGAAACTTCAACGGACAATCCCTTCTCCCTTTTACCGCCAGGCTTTCTCTCCCTCCGCCGCTACTGCCTCTCACTGCGGGATATATCGTCTACCTCCTCCACGCGGCCGTGTAATTTTTTCGTGACAGCAAAATCCTAATACTTGCTGCCTTTAAAGAAGTTTCACTTTAAAAAAAATGTGTACACAGACAACGCATCTGAAGTGAAACTTCTTTTCTTAAAAACATAACATTATGCGGTACATAAAGTATATAATATATATACAGTGGTGGTCATATAATTAGAAACACTTCTTATGAATAAAGAAAGTATAACTTCAACGTACAAATGTTCGTAAAAAATATACATATTCAAAAATTATTAAACATGCAATAATATAGCCATTCAAATAAAAAACTGATTAAATGCATAAAATATAAAACATATCTTACTTTTAATTACAAAATGAGTCTTACACATGTAGGAGTTTATTTTCTGTACGCTCGTGACGCATTTCTGTTTAATTTTTTCCATGGGATTTTTTCATTTACACCCCGTCAAAAAAGAGGTTTCATTTCAAAAAGTAACCTAACATTATTTTGTTCAGGGCTCGAGACAATACTCCGCCCCGGGTACGGCCGCGGCCGCCCATTCCAAATCGCCGGAACGTTTCGTTGCGTCCCACCCCGCCGCCGATTCCGACGACGATGAACCCGCGCCGACCTTCCAGCCCACCGTCATCGTCAACGAGGTTGAAGATGCCTAACTAATTATCCCGTGTATGAAGATTTACGTCACCAGTTGGCGCCACTGTGACGTGAGGTCTTTTGTATGAAGGTTTTTGGCGCGGACTACCCGAACGAAAATTTACAGTGGGACCAAGATCTGGCGGCGCATGGAGGTTAGAGAGAAGGAGAACGATCGCTGTAGAAAATGATGTCCCAGAAATATGGACAACATAAGTGAGTCGCTGCGATCGCTAAGTTGTCTCAATAAAAGCGGGCAGATACTACTTACCGATGGCAGGGCGGCTGGTGGCAAAAAAATGAACTATAAATTCTACAAATTTTCAAGGGCAGGTGGGCTAATACTTTAGCACCTAGCGATCGTTCTCCTTCTCTCTAACCTCCATCTTGCGGCGCGTAACCGAAATCGAAACTAATTTTAACAAGGTATGAATGAGCCTTTTGTTTAAAGAGGTAGGTGTAAATAAGCCTTTTATATATCCTATTACCGTTTACGATTTATTAAAAATTAAAATGATCCCTTTAGTGAGGAGATTTTACCTACTTAGTAATCGTTACTTCATCATTTAATCACCATGCTGTCAATGTCATAAAAGTGCCATAAGATTTGGTCGCACTATAAATTTACCGATAAACCATGACAACATACGCGATTTGATAGATGAGTAGACTTTTTATCTCAGTGCCACCACCTTGTGTCCGTCATTCCGGAAAACCCTCACCGTCTTATTAAAAAATGTCGACTGAAGTTAAACCTGGTTTGAAACTGAAGCTGCCACTTTTGTTTGCTAAAAAGAAGACACAGTCAGCATTAGTTTTAAACCAGGAGTAACTTTAGTCCGTGTTTTGGAATAAGGCGGTCACTGTGTTAACTATTCTGTACCTAAATAATGAGTCCGATCATAAGTAAAAGCTGTTTGAAATGTAAAACTAGTAAAGACTGTAAAATATTTTTTCTTTTTAATTCAATACACTAATAATAAGCTGAACTTTCTAAATTATTATTCTTTATCCTCAACTTGAAATTCACCTACACCAACATTTATAATTCTAAGGTGATTGGGCCAAAGTGGTCCAAGTTGCGATACCAATAACGATGTGGTATTTATATAGTATATAGGTGTACATCAGCTGTACTTAAATACAAAGGGATATCAAAACGTAACCCAGCAGGTTTTTCATATTATGTAAGTAATGTAAAGTGTAATTTTTCTTTAAATTGCCGGGTCAAATTTTGGTGCCTCTTTTAATTTAGGTGTAGTTGAGGTACCCTAACATTAATACCACAGCGGTGTCTGCATTGGTTCTTGGACCAATTTCCATACAGATTTGCCCAGTCGCCTAGCTCCACGGAGCACCCCCACTAGAGTCCGCATACAAGGGCAAGCGCTTACGCCAAGCTTAAGTAGTATTTTACCTATGCGTGAGGCACGCGTACAGACGTCGCGATACATCGTTTCATTCGGTAACCGAGCGTTGGTCGAACTGCTTCTCTCGTTTTCGTGTTAAAAAACTGTAAAAAATGCCGTACTATGCTATTAAATTGTGTGAAAAATCGAGTACAACTTCCAGTCTTCAAAAAAATGGTATTACTTTTCACTGGTTAGTTTTAATGCATGACAAAAAGACAAAAATACTGTAATATTAAATTGCTGTTAATAGTATTTATTTTTTGGTGAACGCGTTGATGTCTTTTTACACTATCCCTCTCTCGCATGGGCTACATCATATATGCTATCTCGCTCTCACACCGGCACGTGTATTGCTAGTGACTCAGACGCAGCTCATGTCTCAACGCGTAAGTTTATCGATAAGTTTGTCAGCTATGGAAATGGAAAAAATAAATAAAAACTATTTATTTCATCGTATACAATAATAGATGTCATAAGTATACAACCAACAGTTTTTATTTGACTTCAAACATATCCTAATAAAATTGAAAAACGCGAAAATTTGTATGCATATTTGTTACTCTTTCACGCTAAAGCGGTTAAACGGATTGGTATGAAATTAAGTGCGCATAGTTTATGACCTAGATGAAGACATAGAATTAACGATATTAAATACCCTAGATACGTTTTTTAATTAACGCCTTTAAAGCAAATTTTATTGTTGTAATACTTACTATAAACTGATTTAATTTAAAATATTTGTGATATTTAAATGCATGGTCGGTTATACGTCGCCCTTAGCCATCTCTTTTCTTCGCGGTCTGTACCTGCTATATTGCTAACAGCGCATTCAGAATTGCGCGTGAAAAGTAAAAAAAAAATAAGGTCTATATTCTTTCACATATAACAATAAATCGTAAAATTTTACGAACTTGACGCATGCATTTTAATTAACACCTTATACCGTATGCATTAAAGGTGACTTTCAATGTTTAAATAAGGCATTATATTGTTTTTGACCACGCGATCATCTTACGGAACTCCGTGGATCGTCCAATGTACCTTTTGGACACGTTTCGGCCACGATTTTGTTCGTGTTGTTGTATCTAGGGCAGTTAATATCGTTGCATTAATACTTCTTGTCCTGGACGTGTTTTTTTTTTGTGTTGCTTATATATAATTTAGTATGTATTTACTAGTCGCGTCATGTAATTAGAACGCTGGAAGAAAGTGGAGAGGGTATGATTACGCATTTGCGCACCAAAGTAATAGGCCTCTATTCTAAATTGTCTATCGATAGAAAACATCGATATTTTCTAAAATCGATCTTACCCTCATCACTTCGCTGCACTGAGTATATGATCTGACCTTGACGCGTCCAATCACAGCGGGGCTGACCTCCCTGCACCCCACTGACTTTGGCGATTTTGATTCCAAACAAAATTTGTGTGATGCGGACTAGTGGGGGTGCTCCATGCCTAGCTCTAAGGCTACAGTCTCGTATTAAAAACTATATGCTGCGTCTGAAATCAACGTTAATGTTCCGATCGGCATCTGAACGCCAGGCATAGCGTCGGCGGTCAATACAAGTCAATCGTCCAAGTCAACAGTGAAAGTGGTCGTCGTTGTTCGTCAAATTTCGTCATTTTGTACTGACGCTAAATACGAATTTGATGCTGCAATGGTTCGAAGTAACTAGTGACGCATAGCATTTGAATGCCACCTACGGCGTCCACACACTGACGTCAACATATAAGAGACCACAACGGTACATTTATATAATAAAAGCATCTAATGACGTTGCAGCAAATCCATTTATTTATTTATTTTATTCTTCTTTACCAAAATACAGTAAATGGCGGACTTAATGCCATAGGCATTCTCTACCAGTGAACCAGTAAGGGTGTGGGAGACGAATGTTATGGCGATAGAGTGCGAGCTACTAAAGTTATAAAAACATAATATTATCCTACTTAACTTTACTATAATAAACGATAAATAAATATTATATAATAATCAAATATCATAAATACACATATAAATAAATAGATATATATATGTATAATAAACATACACATATAATTATATACATATAATAAACTAGTTAGAAATAACTAATTATGATGTTACAGATGACTGAAGATTACAGAAATATTAGGTCGACAGATAGTGTGCACGTACTAGATTTTTAGGCACTTTGCAGACGACGGGGCGGGGCGGGCCGGTCAATTTCGCCGCGAATATAATAGCACAGTGAATCCTATACTTCAAACGCACACAGAGGGCAAAAAGACCGTCTTGTCCGCGGCTGCCCGCCGTGGATCATACAAACCAGTTTATATGCAGTAACGCAGACGGCGGCGCGGGGCGGTCAGCTCAGTCCGCGCCACGCGCTTATTAGTGATGGACTATTCACTAGAACGAACGTCCTAAACTGACCGCCTCTGCCCGTCGTGTGCTTTGTGTACGCGGCGCGGGCAGACGCGGTCTTTATCGCGGACAAAATGCCCGCCCCGCCCCGTCGTCTGCTCAACGCCTTAAACTCCAACTTACTACGAGGACTGCGAATATTCAATGGCAAAGCATTCCAAAGACGTATAGACGTAGGTGAAAGATTTGGAGACGAAACCGGAATGGTGAAAATGGGTTTTGAGGGTAAGGTACAAGAGCGAAAATCACCCGGTGTAGAGGGTCCCAGAAACTGAAACCTAGATTTCAAGTATTCTGCACGTGGATCGTATAAAATAGTGAAAAGCATCCATTCATCCATTCATCCTTGTCAACAACTTTTCAATTATTATTGAATCTAAAAGTGAAGGAATAAGGTTTTTAAGCGATTTGTTTTAAGTTATCATTTTTTTTAAGCATGTAACTGCTTGATGTTTAAATCTAAAGAAAATATAACCAGAAGAAAGTCCACGCGGACTAGGCAGCAGACGGGACTCGAACCCACACGCTTCGCTATCCGGGCGAATGCACTGAACAATTATGCTACCGCGGCCCTGACGGCCGCGTCGAAATTCCTCTAACCATTCTTAAGCTGCAAGGCAGCGCCATCTCTTCGCATCGCGTAGGTAACCCACAATGTCAAATGAATAATTTTACAAGTATTAAACATTCGAAAGAAGAAATAGCAATTATAGTTATCATTGATTTGTTTTTAGTTTTATTTTCTGTGGACTGGTGAAAATGGGCCTTTATTATTAAAATAAACTTTTAAATAAAACCCCCAAGAACATTACAAAAATACGTTTATGAAACGAGTAACATGATTTGGTATAACAATGAGCATAGTTCTCAGAAGAGTCCCTCTATCTCTCCAGTCTTGGTGTTGAGGTCTATATCGTAGATGCTTGGCCGAGTGGGCAGCCCTGGCATCTTGGAGATTTCTCCCACCATTGGGACGACGAATCCGGCGCCGACTGACACGAAGATACCGTTGATTTTGAGCGGGAATCCAGTTGGGGCACCTTTAACCGCCGGATCGCCAGTCAGGGAGTTGGAAGTCTTGGCCATGCATATAGGGAACTTGTCGTAGCTCTGTAAATTTTTTATAGTATTATATGAAACAGCTATAGGCGGGAACGTATTATTAAGCTGCATGAAAGCCCTGCCAGTTAATAAGTAAATAATTTGTATTTTTTAATATTTTAAGTTACACGATGCAGAGTGTATGCATACATTGTGTCCAAATTATTATATCAGAGTCAATCGTGGGTTTATTTGCGAGTTTAAAAATCAGCAACCTTAATTCACGTCTATGGCTTAGTTGGGAAACACTTCTTGAAATGGCTGCCTCTGATTTTGAAATTAGCACCTCGGGCTATTTAAGACATGAGAATTTGTAAAAACAATCAAAATGTAGGTCAGTAACGAGTGCCCTTATATGACTTTTGCCACCCCTCCAAGCTGTTGCAACTAATTATTTAAAATTTTGTCTAAAATATTCTACAAAATTACCTTCTCCGTGAACATTTTGATTTTCTCCAGCACCTCATCGGTATATTCTATGGTGCCAGCGCCGTACATCTCGGTGGCTATAACGCGGATCTTTTCCACAATAGGCAAGTCGAGTGGGTACAAGTAATCGAAGTTGTTCGGTTTATCGCACGCGGCAATCACCGCGTCGGCCAGGTCTAATGCGCCCGCGCCGCCTTTAGCCCAGTGGTCGCAAATAACTGCACGGAATGCGCCATTCTTCTCGGCGTATTGCTGTACCAGATTCAGTTCCGCTTCAGTGTCGTTACTGTGACACAAACACGTTTACATTTTTTAAGACTGAAGACTGCAGAAATAACACTTATTTTCGTGATGTGTGTGTGTGTGTGTGTGTGTGTGTGATGTATTTATGAAGTTGATTTAAAGTGATTGCACATTTGTCAGCAACTACGCAACGAACTTGCCTCATTTCCTTTCAGGCTTTATGAAATGCAACTCGTTCGGCATACAACGAATTCTAAATAACAATAGATTCAGATTCCATAGCTTACTGGGTAGGTATTGGCTCCAAACGGGTAAAGATAACGCCGCAATTGTACTAATTATGTATTTGTACTGTGAGTCCGCTAATGATGATGGAAGACTTAAGTTCAGCAGCAGCAGTTAGAGCGCGCGATAAAAAACGTGATATAATGTAAATTGTCGTTGTCATGATACACAGGGGACAGGTGTGGTGATATAATTTGATGTGCCTCGTAAATAATCGGGTCAGTCTAGTCTCTGCTCAACACCTGTGCTCCTGTGTCAATACTCGGAAGGACTCGGCTAAGAGAGCTTTTGTGGTATAAATATTGAGACGATTTGTTTTACAGAATGTGCATGTGTGTGTGGTTTTCAAATGTAAATATTAAGATATAAATCGGAACCTGTGTCTGTTGATAGCAATGACCACAGGAACGCCGAACTTGTTACCGTTGCTGATGTGCTTGCCCAGGTTGCATAGACCCTTGGTGAGCAGTTCTATGTTTTCCTGAAATGAAATAAAACGTATGAACGTAAAAAAAATTGCTTTTCGCATAGAAATTTAAAATTGAGATCTGTTGATATTTCAGTAAAATAACAGCATCCGAATTTCATGGTGGTCTCAAATGAATTTTCTACTCATCCACTATCTCAAAAAACGTGCATCTGCCGAACCCACAGATATTTCGCGCCCGACGCGACCAATCCGCGAGTGTACCTTTGTGCAAAAGCGATTGGTCGGCCGAACTCACGTTTCGGAACACATCTTTGTTGCAGGTTTCAAGTTTTGGTCGTCTTTTGAACCAACCCTTGTCCGCACTCATTTTATTTCACTGACAACATAATTATTCCATCAACGATCAAAGTTATTTAGCTTTTTTGAATAATAGATGCTGGCGGCATATCGAAATGCGTCCAGTACTCACCGTAATCACACTACGACTAGAAGGGTTCTTCTGATGTATGGGCAATGCTGGGTTGGTCCGGGTCAGGTCCGGGCTGAATGGCTTGCTATTTTTCTTTTGTAGCCGAATCAAAGTTACTGCTATGTGGCAGTAAAGAAAAGAAGTTCTTTAAGCATTTTAAAGGGCACGTATAAAATTATTTAAGTACGTCTTTATCCTTCCGATTCGGTTTCAATCAAGCAAATGATCGAACACGGACCGCGTGTATGACGTGCCATTTTAAAAACGATTGATCGTTACGAGTTCTGTCAGATTGATCGAAACGACGAATCGTACCGTATATGGAAGACGTTGACACTATCACCGCTGCGCAACAACTTCATATCACATAGCATCACACTCACCTTGACGAACACTTGGTGCAGCGGCGCACCGGGCGTGACCGCGGGCCCGCTGCCGTGCATCTTGAGCGCGCGCACCGTCGACACTATGAACCGCTGCGCAACAACTTCATATCACTTAGCATCACACTCACCTTGACGTACACTTGGTGCAGCGGCGCGCCGGGCGTGACCGCGGGCCCGCCGCCGTGCATCTTGAGCGCGCGCACCGTCGACACTGTCACCGCTGCGTAACAACTTCATATCACTTAGCATCACACTCACCTTGACGTACACTTGGTGCAGCGGCGCGCCGGGCGTGACCGCGGGCCCGCCGCCGTGCATCTTGAGCGCGCGCACCGTCGACACTGTCACCGCTGCGTAACAACTTCATATCACTTAGCATCACACTTACCTTGACGTACACTTGGTGCAGCGGCGCGCCGGGCGTGACCGCGGGCCCGCCGCCGTGCATCTTGAGCGCGCGCACCGTCGACACTGTCACCGCTGCGTAACAACTTCATATCACTTAGCATCACACTCACCTTGACGTACACTTGGTGCAGCGGCGCGCCGGGCGTGACCGCGGGCCCGCCGCCGTGCATCTTGAGCGCGCGCACCGTCGACACTGTCACCGCTGCGTAACAACTTCATATCACTTAGCATCACACTTACCTTGACGTACACTTGGTGCAGCGGCGCGCCGGGCGTGACCGCGGGCCCGCCGCCGTGCATCTTGAGCGCGCGCACCGTCGACACTGTCACCGCTGCGTAACAACTTCATATCACTTAGCATCACACTTACCTTGACGTACACTTGGTGCAGCGGCGCGCCGGGCGTGACCGCGGGCCCGCCGCCGTGCATCTTGAGCGCGCGCACCGTCGACACTGTCACCGCTGCGTAACAACTTCATATCACTTAGCATCACACTCACCTTGACGTACACTTGGTGCAGCGGCGCGCCGGGCGTGACCGCGGGCCCGCCGCCGTGCATCTTGAGCGCGCGCACCGTCGACACTATCACTGCGCAGTGTGGCCGAGAGCCGCTCGCACGACACTTCACGTCGAAGAACTTCTCCATACCTGGCACAAAATATTTATTCGTCATCATCCTCAGCCTATTAATGTCCCCACTGCAGGGGCACTGGCCTTCCCTATGGATGAAATAGGGAAACTAGGCCGCAACCACTTGGGCTCAGTGCGAATAGTTGGTATTAACGACTACAGACGCAGCCGGGCCTAACGGCTCAATGTGCCTTCCGAAACACCAAGTAGCTCGAAATAATACATTTTTGGCCACCCATCCAATGACCGACCAGAGCGAAAGTTGTTTAACTTTCACGATCGCATGCTGAATGCGTTAACTATCTGCGCCATCGAACTCCCCATTCATTCTTTTCTCGTTTATTTATGAAACTGTCGTATTCTTTAATAAGGGTTATTAAAACACAAATGTGGGTTTGTCACAGGAAGCGTATCGGAGTATGATAATAGTATCACATCATAACATAAGTGTTTTAGTACCTATTTATGTAAAGATAAAGGGTATCTGTAGAATACGACAGTTCTATAAATAAATGAGAAATGAATGAATGAAGAGCTCGATGTCGCAGGTGGTCAATCCTTTATCTATGGCCAGTTACAATAACCTATCACCACTCTAAGATAAGCTTATCCTAATCTAAAACTAAGCTCTCACTTCTTACTGGAGATACCTAGTGATGTCTTGTGTCTACGCATAGCTAAGTATTGCTTTCATAAGCAACTACTTAGTTAAAACGAAGTAACACAATTGTAATTTTGTAAGTAAAAACTATCCACGGGAACTCTGCCGACAAACTATTGTAACAGTTCAATTTGTAATCGATGTCTGTACTTAAAACTCAGATTACAGAACAAAAGGCAGATGGTACCCACGGAACACGTAAAGACCTTTTTTTATCTTTGTGAACAGTTTTTACAATGTTTGAACAAGGCGGCAAAGGTTTGATGAAAACTTAATATTCACGGGACGTATTCACCACAGAACACTGAAAGAGGTTATAAGGGCCTTGTGAGCAGGGCAGGCGCGCCATAGGTAATGCAAATGCTCATAACTTGACCAAAACTTTGTTTTGATTGCATCGTTGCTCTTGGATGTGAGCGCTGATTGGTTCAATTGTTTGATGATGCAACATCAAACAATTGAACCAATCAGCGTAAGTTTGATTGGCAATTTTGTATATTAGGTAGAAGTGTAGTGAGGGCGAGCCGACGTAGTCGGTTCCTGTATAAACGGTCTATGATCACCCTTATAACCTCTTTCTGTGTTCTGCGGATTACACCTACCGATGTCAGAGCCGAAGCCCGCCTCGGTGGCGACGTATCCGTTGGGTCCAGCGAGCTTGCTGGCGATCTTGTCCGCTATGATGGAGGAGCAACCGTGGGCGATGTTGGCGAAGGGGCCAGTATGCACAAGCACTGGCGTGCCTTCCAAGGACTGCATAAGCGTGGGCTCGAATGCCTCCTTCAGCAGGACCAGCAGCGCGCCAGTCATGCCCTACAAGAAATAAACTTTCTTCAATGATATATCATTTCCATAGATATATGTTACGTTCACAGTAATTGCGTTTAAAATCTGTTCCAACTTCAAATGTTTTCTTGTGCATAGAGTAACATTTATTAGTCGTCAAGACGCTCCAATTGGCCTGTTTTCGAGTCTTCGCAGCGTGCACGCTTCTGAAATATCTGCTCTCATACAAGTAGTCCCACGGGTTTGTCGCACGGAGGGAAAGTATATTAAATATTGAAGATAGAATATTTTTCTGGAAGAAGACATCATTTTGTTTTTAATAATTATTAAATTTGAATTCATAGTTTTTATTTTGGTGAAGGGGCCAGTATGCACGAGCACTGGCGTTCCTTCAAGAGACTGAATCAGAATGGGCTCAAATGCCTCCTTCAGCAGGGCTAGCTGGGCGCCAGTCATGCCCTACAAGAAATCACCTTCCTTTAACAATTACGAAGTCTTACGAGTGAGAATGGATACGAAGATAAATGAAAGGTTTCACGCGATGGATAAAACAAGATACTGGTCCAGTTTTTTTTTTCATAATAGGGTAGATTGGCCCTTTAAGCGGAATTCTTCATTTGTTTGTCTGTAGTAAATTTACTGTTATAATAATTTTCGATTTAATGTAGTTCTACAATACTGTAAAATAGGGTTTGATTGTCAAAATAAGTAGACTTCACACAGCTCAATATTATTATTATGCATTCAAATATTTCAAAATCAACAGAAAAGGCATCATTTATGTAGTCATTGGGCCCCGAGGTACAATAAGTGGCCCCCACGTATATCAGTGATTGGCCCTCTGGATATTTTTTAATTCTATTATATTAACCTTAATTTAAGATACTTGGATATGTATAATGGACAATGGACTTTGACCTTTTTTTGAAGACAAAAGATCTTGAAAGAAAAAATAATAATCTTGTAAATGTTGTTTAAGAGAAATCTGTGTCATCGACCTTAGGCCCTGCCAGAATCATCAGCGCTGCAGCAGCCATGGTGTTGCTGTAGTATTAAGCTGAGGCAGGGACCTAGTTGGCCTATTTCGAACTCATTAAATAAAACTAGTTTTTAACGGGTTAATGCACGAAACTTTATTTACTTATTTATTGACGTTTCAGATTAAGACTTTAAAAGTCTTTCGAAGGTAGCTCTATAAAATTAAATAAAAAATCATAATTCTGACGAAGCAGACCTGAAAAGGCTGCGAAACATCAATAAATAAATTAAGTTTCGTGCATTAACCCGTTAAAAACTAGGTTTAGTTTTATCTATTTCGGATTGTTTTTATTTATGTTAACATGACTATGTTTATGGCTAATAAAATTTAGTTCTTGCTTTCTTTCTTTAAATAATGTCCAGTGACGACATGACAAGTCATTTTGAACATTAACATGAATTTTAAAAAAAAGAAGACATTTTCAAAATAACACTGGGTCCATCTCTAGCTAGACACTATCCAGGCAGCTAGCTTGACAGCTAGCTAGGCAACTAGCCAGACAGCTAGCTGGGCAACTAGCCAGGCAGCTAGCTAAACAGCAAGCTAGGCAACTAGCTAGGCAGCTAGCTAGGCAACTAGTCAGGCAGCTAGCCAGGCAGCAAGCTAGGCAGCTGGCTAGACAGCTAACTAGGCAACTAGCTAGACAGCTAGCTAGGCAACTAGCTAGAAAGCTAGCTAGGCAACTAGCTAGACAGCTAGCTAGGCAACTAGCTAGACAGCTAGCTAGGCAACTAGCTAAACAGCTAGCTAGAATTCCTTTCTACTTGACTTTTTAAACGCACAACTTACCAAGTCGTCAGCAGTGACAGGGTTGCCTCGCTTATCCAAAGCCACCACCATGCTGGCCAGTCTCTGCTTTATGTCCTCTACGTTGTTGCCCAGGGCCAAGATAGCCATAATCTCTGATGCTACGGAGATGTCGAATGAAGTCTCTCTTGTGAAACCCTTCTCTGTTGGAGACTGACCGATGGTTATCTTGCGGAGATATCTGTCGTTCAGATCGACCACTGAAATGGATGACATTTTATTTTTTAAGTTGGTGTAAGTACCGATTATGTGAATGGCTACAGGCACTTTTTTTTTCAAATGACAATTTCGGACCCAACAGTGTAATTGTGTACCTATTTTTCTTTGTAATACAATATCATTGCGGTATTTTATTAAGCTGAGAAACTGATTATTCACTTGTCTGATTTTTATTCATATACTAATTTAGGACCCACCCAATTAGTTAATGTACCTATTTTTATTTCTTTGTAATACTTTTACCCCCCCCCCCCCCCCCCCTATTTACAAACAAGGAAAAACTTTAGGCTAGTTACGCCGTGTTTTGTTCATATCACTCAAATGCCATTTGTCATTCAATGAACGGAAATAAAACATGGAGTAACTAATCCAAACTTAGTGTTCGTTTATTAATAAGGGAGTTAGTGTTCCGTTGAGACTCTGCCGAGATTGTGAATGATGTGTACCCATTAGTAAGCTGAAGAGGACTACCTAGATGTAGTCCAGTCAGTATTGTCGCGAAATCCGTTTTTCCTCAAACAGCTGGAACTATGCTAAAAAGTTTCTTAAGATAGTAAAGAACACTTTACATAGAGAAAAAAATGTTTCCAACCCCGGGCAAGGGTGAAAACCACCCTTAATAATCTATTTTTCCAATTATCTCAAAAAGTATACGAGATACGGAAAAAAACTTCAAATGAAAATTGTAGATCTTTTTGAAATCTACAAAACATTATTCCACCCTCTTGCCCCTATTTTCAATAGGGGAGCCAATAATCGAAGTCAAAGATTCAATACTTAAAAAGTTAAAGTTAGTTAAAAAAGTTATCTTTGACTTCGATTATTGGCTCCCCTATTGAAAATAGAGGCAAGAGGGTGGAATAATGTTTTGTAGATTTCAAAAAGATCTACAATTTTCATTTGAAGTTTTTTTCCGTATCTCGTATACTTTTTGAGATAATTGGAAAAATAGATTATTAAGGGTGGTTTTCACCCTTGCCCGGGGTTGGAAACATTTTTTTCTCTATGTAAAGTGTTCTTTACTATCTTAAGAAACTTTTTAGCATAGTTCCAGCTGTTTGAGGAAAAACGGATTTCGCGACAATACTGACTGGACTAATGATATCATGCAGGATATCATGCACGAACTTTATTCGATGCAGACCTGAAAAGGCTGCGAAACGTCAATAAAGAAATAAAGTTCATTCATTAACCCGTTAAAACTAGTTTTATTTAATGAGTGATGTGCGTGAAAACCTAAGAAACAAATTATGTATATATATATATATACATACTAGCTGACTCGGCGAACTTCGTACCGCCCAAAAGTAATAATTTGTAAATAAATTAAAATTACGACTATAATTTGAGATTTAAACTATCCTATCTCTCAAGTTGGATCGAACTGCACATGGTGTGCGAATTTTATTATAATCGGTTCAGTGGTTTGGGAGTCCATTGAGGACAAACATTGTGACACGAGATTTATATATATTAAGATATATAGGTCCACTTCGTTAGTAGAGTCCAGATGCGAAGATAGCTGGTGCAGCAGTTCTACCTGCCACACCAGCTATCCAGTGTTGCCATATTTACAGATTGTCCATAACCATACAGACTTTTAACACTTAAACTTGATAATAAGAACATACGGATTTTTATACGGTATTGTCACGAAAATGCAAACAATATTTTAATAATATGTCTGATCTCACTAATATGATTTTAATAAAACGAAACAATACACATTATTTAAACTAGTATTTTTTCGGCGAATTTGACAAAAAGCACTGGTAAAATACACATATGACTTTAGGAAGTCCGCCCGAAATATTTTGGTTGCTCAAGACTATGAGAGAAAAAAAAAGTTAAAACAAGTATAGTGATATTTACTATTTTCTTAGTATTGAATTGAATCATTATCATTATATTTTTTATTTATAAAAAATCTCTCAAATATTTTTCTTGAAGTGCTCTAAATGATACCAATCAAAGGTAGGTTAAAAAATTTATACCGATTTCATAGAGATTTGATTAAAAAATTGCCATACGGGTTTCATAAGGAAATTTTATATTTAAGCGAATTTGGCAATTAAAATTACGGAAACACCGATTTAAAATCTGGCAACACTGCAGCCATCCTCACCCTGCCGACCTGCGTGTTGCTTCTTCACGCCTCTTTTAAAGAATCCCAGGTTGACGGAGGGAAGGAACACGTAAGCAGGCAAAGCATTCCATTGCTGGCAGTGAGACAATTACCTCTGTTCCACATAATCTTGGAAGTGTCGATGTCCAATCTTGCAAATTTGCTCTTTTCCTCGTCGGTCAACGAATCCGGGTCGGTCTTGTTGATACCCAGTCGTTGCAGTCTCCTCAGTTGGATAGGGGAGAACTTCCTCACGCCTTTAATGCGTGGAACCAACCGATCGTAGAGGGGTCCATCCTTTTGAGTTAGTTCGTGGAAGATGCGTGCGTCCATTTGGGCAGCAAGTAGGTTGTTGGCTGCACTCACGGCGTGGATATCGCCCGTCAGATGCAAGTTGAACTCTTCCATTGGTATGACCTGGAATTGCGTTTTTTTTTTTTTTTGCTGTTGCGTGTGCTAATTATCAGTTAGAATAATAACTATGACTTCGCCTATTAAATAACTAAACAAATAACAGATATTCAGTGTTAATATTTCGGAAGACAGTCAGTCTGCATTTCAATGTGAATTGGTGATTTTTTTTGACAGTTAGTCTGAATTTAAATGTGAATTGGTGAACTTATTTACTTTTACTTTTTATATGCCTTGGAGGCGGGAGGCGCGACCCTGTCTATGGGCAATGACATATTACCCAAAGACATGAAGCTGAAGCTTGCTTAATTATTGGAGTAATAACTGTTTTTTTTTTAAATAAAAAATTATCTTCTTACTGTAACATCATTTTTTTCCATAAGTAAATATTTATTTGTCTCTTAGGTTTTCACGCACATCACTCATTAAATAAAACTAGTTGTTACGGGTTAATGCACGAAACTTTATTTATTTATTGACGTTTCGTAGCCTTTACAGGCTTCGTCGTCAGAAAACGTCAATAAATAAATAAAGTTTCGTGCATTAACCCGTAAAAACTAGTTTTATTTACTAAATATTTAATCTTTGAATCTTTCCGAAAGAGTGCCATCTATCGTCACTCCCATGAATTATCGAATGCAGTATTACTCAAAACAAAGCAGAACATTTGCTTGTCGATAGAATCTGGCAGTAGTTCTTAGAATGTAGGATAGATGGAGTTGGCGAGTGGAGTGCGATGAACGTTACTTCTCACCGCAGCTGCCACCACTGTCGTATTAATATTATCTAGAAATAATTACGAGAGGCGTGGTTTCCCAAACCACTTCCGTCTCAATAATATCTCATTTGGTAATTAGAGAGATGCTCTTGCATAGAACGTTCTCGGTGGTCAGTGATATAAATAGCCGCAGTAGCAATCCATCTCTTTATATTTGCATTTTGGTACATCAAGGTAGTCGCACTGTGACCTTTAAGAAAGCCGTAGTCAGTTTGTAAATAATCATACAAGACTAATATTGATAATAAGATATCTCACCCCGGATTAACGGGTAAGTTCCATATATTTAATTTTGTAGGTCGTAGGGCTCCGTAGGCATATAGTTTTATTCTAAGGTATTGTGTGTGGTTATTTCTAGGTCATTTGAGGAAGCTATTACAATTCCTAGACAAAACTCATTATTTTGTCCAGTCTGGAATTTCTTTGGAAATATTAAGTAGATTAAACTCTTTATATTGTGAAGGTTGATCTATGACATGCGACCCATCCATGGGATACTGATGACAGCATATTCATTGGGAAAAATAACAACATTTGAAAGTCACTAGATGTTCCTGGAGTTTTTGAGCTACGTTGTCCATAATTTTTTATCTTAATTTTAACCAGTGCATCCCCTGAACTACAGGATATTTAATCTTTAATTCAAAATATAATTTGTATGTGTTTAAGTCAATTTCCTTAAAGCAAAACCTTTAATATTTATTAGTATTGTTTAAAAAGATTGATTGAATTATTCTCTTTAGCAAGAAATTGTATTGTTTAAAGTACCTAAGCAGTTGTTTGTATAAAATATATATATCTGAAATAAAGTAATAGCGAAGGCTAAGTATTGTTCATAAATATAGTAACATATTGTAATCATATGTATTGTTTAGTAGTTTATAAAAAAAAGTAAACTGTCAATAAAGTTAGTTATGTCAGCCTACGTTAGATGTTTCATTTCGTAGTATAGTGTGATGTGTGAACGTTTGGTCCATAACTCGCCGGATTTGAATAAGTGACGATAAAACAAATAGTTGGATATTGTAAGTCGTAAATATTACATAGATTTCAAGAAATATACATCATAAAAGAGAAAATTTTCATCGTAAAATACGGATAATTATTTGACAGTTGGCAAAGAGTTTAACGGAAAGTTATTTTGAATACTCTCCCTTTTCTCTATTATTCAAAGAGTATAACGGAAAATTATTTTGAATATACTCGCCTTTTCTCTATTACTCATACCATGGATATATGAAAAATCTAAGTTGAACAAAGAGTAATATTTTATTGTGTCAAGTAACTGCAAGAAAAATGTCTTTACAAGAAATAATTATTACGCAAAATGAATTATCTATACAAATAAATAGAGCCTTATCCAATTTCAAGAAATCGAAAGCAAGAATAAATAAGTCATATATTGAAACAAGATTAGATTCATTAGAAGCAAACTTTCAATTATTCAAAAACAACCATTTTGACATTACGAAAAGGGCAACGCAAGAAGAAAAGAAAAGTTTAACATATTTTCAAGAAGATACGTACTATAGTTGTGAAGATGTCTATTTCGAGTTTAAGACTTTGATGAAAGAGAAATTGGAAGAATTGCTTTTAAACTCGTCGACTTCTATGAATAAGGGAGAAGTTCTTGTCTCCACAGCTCCAGGCAAAGCTCTAAGGTTACCAACAATTGAAATACCTGCCTTTTCAGGAAGTTACAATGAGTGGACAGGCTTCTATGATTTATTCAAGTCGTTGATACATAATAATACACAGTTGTCTAACATAGAGAAATATCATTACCTGAAAAGTAATTTGAAGGGCGAAGCAGAGAATTTATTAAAGCAGTTTCCATTAACAGAAGCAAACTATGAGAAAGCATTAGAAGTATTGGAGTCAAGGTATGATAACAAAAGACTTATAGTACATTCGCACATCACACGTCTACTTAATCAAAGGAAGCTTACGTTAGAGTCAGCCAAAGGGTTACGCGCATTATTAGACACCACGAATGAAGTATTGAACGCACTTAATAATGTTGGCGTAACAACAACAAACTGGGATCCTCTTATCACACATATCATTGTAGCAAAGTTCGACAATGATAGTCAACGTTTATGGGAACAACAGTTAGCAGGGACTAGAAATATTCCAACTACTAAGCAGGTGTTAGATTTTTTGTAGGTAAGATTCAGATCGTTGGAGGCTTTGAGTGCTACACAACACAAAGAAGTTGTTACGCGTCAACCATCAATCAGATCGTTCAAAGCGGATATCGAAGTCATTTGTTCGTTTTGTTTGAAAGATCACTACATCTACAACTGCAAGGAGTTTGTGAAATTGAGCCCAGAAGAACGTAGAGATGTCGTCCAAGAGAAACAGCTATGCTTCAATTGTCTTGTACCTGGGCATAGTGTTAAATTTTGTAAGCAGTTTAAATCTTGCAAAATATGCAAGCGACGTCATCATTATCTTTTACATCTGAGTTCCTATGAAAAGCAAAAAACTCATGCTGCACAAGTTAGTAAAGAGCATGAGGAGGATAAAGAAGAAAAGGACACTTCCCAGCTGGCTGTCCATACAACTGATATTACTGATACATAGGTCTTACTAGCTACGGCCATGGTTCGAGTTATAGGTAATGATGGCAAGAAGTATCAGTTGCGAGCGCTGATTGACCAAGGATCACAAGCATCGTTCATTACAATATCAGCTGCTCAGCGACTTGGATTACGTACAGAGCGTCGTTTCAGCAAAGTGACAGGAATCGATTCAAAACTATCGATGATTTCTAAAGAGATTGCAGGGTTCGACATTTTTTCATTATACAATGAAACGCCGATAGTCAATGTAGAAGCTCATGTATTGAAGTCACTTTCTTCGATATTGCCACGCCAAGAGATGCGCTTGAATTTGTCATCAAGTATAAAAACATTGCCTTTAGCAGATCCTACGTTTTCAAAGCCTAGTAGTATTGATCTTTTGTTGGGGGCTGAAATATATGCTCAGATTATTAAGGATGGATTAAAGAAATATGGCTCAATAATTGCACAGAATTCGCTTCTTGGTTGGTTTATTTCAGGAAAAGTTGAAGGAAAGCACACTGAAATTAGAGAAGTTGTCTTAATGCACAGCCAACTTGAGACAGATAAGTTATTACAGCGATTCTGGGAATCTGAAGAACTATTCACCAAAAACCGTATACTGACTGCAAGTGAAACAGAGTGTGAGGAGATATTTGAAAAGACACATTCTCGCACTGACTCAGGGCGTTATATTGTAGCACTACCATTTTCAAAGTATAATGGCACACCGCTCGACCAAACAAGATCTCTTGCTGTCAAACGATTATTGCAAATTGAACGTAGGTTTCAGAAGAATAAGATATTTCAAGAACGTTATTTAGAATTTATGTACGATTATGAACAGTTACAACATATGGAGAAGGTACCACCTGAAGATTTGAACAAGTCTGAGATTTGTTACCTCCCACATCACGGAATATTAAAGGAGGAAAGAATAACCACCAAGCTTCGTGTTGTTTTTGATGGTTCAGCTGAGACAAGTACGGGAACATCTTTGAACAAACAACTATTAATTGGTCCAGCTTTACAAAGTGATATAAGAGAAATATTTTTAAGATGGCGATCACACAGAATTTGTCTTGTGGCCGACATTAAGCAAATGTATAGACAGATTTTGGTAAGAAAAGAAGACCAAGATTATCAGCGTATTTTATGGAGGAGGGACCTTGCTGAACCTATCACTGAATACAGGTTACGTACGGTAACGTATGGCACATCCTGTGCACCTTATCTTGCCATTAAAGTGTTGAAACAGTTGGCTAAGGATGAGTGCGGTGAGTATCCACGTGCATCGCGCGTATTAGAGTCAGATTTTTATGTTGATGATCTCCTTTCTGGTTGTGACACAGAATCGGAGGCTATTAATTTGCACAAAAATTTGACTGCATTACTACAGCGGGGAGGAATGGTTCTTCATAAATGGGGAACTAATTCAAAAAATGTTATGAGCGCTATATACGGTGATGATATTCAACCACAAGAGTCATATGAAATCATTATGGAAAAATCAATTAAAACTTTGGGGATAAAATGGAATCCAAAAGAGGATCGCTTTGAGTTGAGTATTAAGTTTGGAGAAGAGTCAAAACCAAAATTTACTAAACGAGAGGTCCTTGCTGATATTGCTAGAATATATGACCCTTTAGGTTGGATGTCACCAATAGTTATAATTGCTAAAGTTTTTATTCAGAAACTGTGGTTACTTGGTCTTGGTTGGGATGAAGAATTGCCACAAAATCATAAAGTCGAATGGTTATCATATAAAGATCAAATGCTCAATATGCCAGTCATTTACTTACCACGTTGGATCGGAATGACTAGTTCGAATACGCGAATTGAGATTCATGGTTTTAGTGATGCGTCTAGCACTGCATTCGCTGGCGTTGTGTACATTAGAATTATTCATGATTTTCAGGTCAAAGTTAAACTAGTAGCAGCCAAGACTAAAGTAGCGCCACTCAAACAAATATCTATTCCACGGTTAGAGTTGTGCGGAACTGTATTGACCGCAAAATTGATGGAAAGAATTCAAAGTTCTTTAAATGTTTGAGACGATAATGTTTTTGGATGGACTGATTCCACTATAGTTCTGGCATGGCTTCAAAAACCACCAAATTCTTGGAAGACCTTTGTTGGAAATCGTGTATCGGAAATAATAAATGTGACGCGTGCTAATCGTTGGCGTCATGTTAATACAAAAGAAAATCCAGCAGATTGTGCTTCTAGGGGAATATCTCCAGCACAATTACCAGATTATGAATTATGGTGGAACGGCCCAAAGTGGTTACATACTACTAAGGATATTATGTCAACTAATGAATATCATGAAACTGATTTAGAATTAAAAGCTGACTTTATATAATGTTTAAGTGTTAATGTTATGCCGGAAGAATTTATTTTATGCAAGTTTTCTAGTCTAACAAAACTGAAAAGGGTTTTGGCATATTGTATGAGCTTTATTAACATAAGTAAGCAACGCGTTACAAATAGAGTAACTTTAGATACAAATATGTCTAATGAATTCCCTAAGTATTTAACAACTAATGAATTAATACAGTCCATGAACTGTTGCATTAAGATTTCACAAATGTATCATTTTCAAACTGAAATCAATGTCAATGAACTATCGAATGGTGAATGTGTTTCAAAAAAGAGTCCTTTGTATTTTTTACGTCCATTTATTGATGAACATAACATAATAAGAATAGGTGGTAGGCTTAAAAATGCCCCTATCCCTTACGACGCCAAACACCCTATTGTAATTTCTGGAAAATCGCAATTAGCTAAATTGATCATAGATTACACACATAAGAAAACCTTGCACGGAGGACCATTGCTTATGTTAAATGTTATTAGATCCACATATTGGATCACCAATGTTAAGTCTCTTGTGAAATTACATGTTAAGCGATGCATTTCTTGTATACGATATGCTCCAAAATTTGCTACTCAATTGATGGGAAATCTGCCATCAGCACGAGTTACCGCCTCCAAACCATTTTCTAGTAGTGGTGTTGACTTTGCTGGTCCTTGCTATCTAAGATCTTCAAAGCTTAAGAAAGCTACTTTGTATAAAGCGTATATTGCAGTATTTATCTGCACCTCAACTAAAGCTATACATTTGGAATTAGTTTCAGAATTATCAACTAGTGCCTTTATAGCTGCATTCAAAAGATTTACTTCTCGCCGTGGGCATTGTACTCATTTGTTTTCAGACTGTGGAACTAATTTCATTGGTGCAAACTTTGAGTTAACAAAAATGTTGAACAAAGCTAGATCATCTTTGCCTGTAGAATTGCGCGAGTTATTAGCTACAGATGGCACTGAGTGGCATTTTATACCTCCAGGTTCGCCACATTTCGGAGGGTTATGGGAGGCAGGTGTGCGTTCAACGAAACATCACATCAATCGTGTTGTGGGGGATACTAAACTCACATTTGAAGAGTATGCTACCCTTTTGACTCAGATAGAGTGTTGTCTTAATTCACGTCCCATTTCTGCTTTAACCAATTCGATTGATGATTATACCGCCCTAACTCCTGGACATTTTATCGTGTTTGGCCCACCAAGTATAATTCCACACGAGAATGTGACTGATATTCCAACATATTGAACACATGTTGCAGTCGTTTTGGAAAAGATGGTCTCAAGAATATTTAGTTACACTACAACATCGGTATAAATGGCATTCCATTAAAAATCCTGTTAAAGTTAATGATTTAGTTATTGTAAAAAATGAATGTTTGCCACCTTCAAAATGGCTGTTAGGAAGAATATTACAAACTCACCCAGGTAACGATGGGATAGTCAGAGTTGTTACGGTTAAATGTAATAATAGCATATTCAAAAGGCCTATTACAAAAATATGTTTATTACCCATAGAATCCTAATTTAAAGGACTAATTCGTCCTTGGGTGGCGGCATGTTTAGTAGTTTATAAAAAAAAGTAAACTGTCAATAAAGTTAGTTATGTCAGCCTACGTTAGATGTTTCATTTCGTAGTATAGTGTGATGTGTGAACAGTATAAAAATCTGAAAATTACTGGTATTGTCTGTATGTTAGTCATTGATTACAAAATAAAAGGATCTTGTTTGCTGGTTTCATCTATTTTATTTAACATCCTGCATAAATACAGTAGAAGGCGCCCTGGCTAGATAAATCTTTTGAGTTATATTTTAATGTAACCTTAGTAATTTTCTACAATCAAGTAAAGTGTGGCAAGTAAAAGAAGTAAGGCATAGTCAATATTGTTGACGGCCCGCTTGGCCTCGTGTGCACTGATTCTGACTGTGAAGCCAATGGAATCGGGTTCGATTCTCCAAGGGGCACATGTCAATTTAATGTCTAGGATGAATTGAACACATGCATTCTCCTAGTCGTCATGGCATAATACGTTTTTGAGTAGATTTATTTAATAGCTTTGCTATGCTTAATATTATTATTTATTTAATACTATGACCGCCCGCGATAAAAAGTATCCTATATCTGCTGAATCCAGATCATAAACTACGCTGGCCTACAAAACTAAGTACCACACTTTTAAAATTGCAATTTTGTGCAACAGCTTGAAAGAATTGACGATATAAAACGTTTTTTATTTAAACCTCTAACATAAATAGTTTTGTAATTTTTTTCCAGTGTATATGCATACTGAATTTCTTCCAAATCCGTTTAGTAATTTTTGTGTGATTGAGTAACAAACATACTAACTTTCACATTTATAATATTAGTAGGATAGAATGTGTACCTGTGAGTATCCGCCCCCCGCGGCCCCACCCTTAACCCCAAAGGTCGGTCCTTGGCTGGGCTGGCGCATGCAGGCGAACGCGTTCCGACCGCGGTGTGCGCTCAGAGCCTGCACTAGGCCCAGCAGAGTGGTGCTCTTACCCTCCCCGAGGGGTGTAGGCGTGATCCTAAACATAAACATATGATAATTAAATAAATAAATATTACCAACACTCACACCAATTATCCTAGCCCCAAAGTAAGCACTGTAAGGCTTGTGTTATGGGATACTAGGGTAACGGATAGAATACATAAACAGTACATATATAAGTATAAGTATATAGAAATACATATTAAACATTCATGGCTGAAGTAAAAATGCTCGTATTCATCACACAAACATCTCCCCCCACCGGGATTCGAACCCGGGACCTCTCGAGTCGGCGACACCATGAAACCCGGCGTCCAAACCACTCGACCGTGGAGGTCGTCATCACCTTATTCCCAAAAAAAACAGATATTTTTTATCTCTGTTGTTGGGGTCCCTCTCTTGTGGAACATAGCTCCGCCTGCTTTGCCTTTAATGCGGCCCTGTTAATATTATGTATGACAAAGATATCTTTATATATATAATTCTTCTGTCAGTGTGTATGTCACTGAACTTCTCTTAAACGGCTGGACCGATTTTGATGAAATTTTTTGTGTGTGTTCAAGGGGATCTGAGAATGGTTTAGATTCACAATTTTGTCCGCTGGACAATATTTTTTTAATTAATTTTTAATTTATTAGTAGTATAAGTATTCATTTGACATTGTGGGTTTACCTATAATGCGAAGAGATGGCGCTGCCTTGCAGCTTAAGAATACGTACGTAAGCGAACTTCGTACCGCCCTAAAAAAATAGGGGTTGGCCAGCGGACAAAATTGTGAACCTAAACCAGTCTCAGATCCCCTTGAACACACACAAAAAATTTCATCAAAATCGGTCCCGTCGTTTAAGAGAAGTTCAGTGACATACACACTCACAGAAGAATTATATATATAAAGATATATAAAATCCCCTTTAAACTCACTAGAGCTGTAGCAAATCGTATGTATTCGGTACTGAGTAACGGGTGCGCCATCTAGTACCGAGTAACGAAACGTTACACACAAATAAATTTCGTTATTCGCATTTTTCGTAGTATGACTATCTACAAAGAGTAGTATTTATATTATGGGAAAAGAGTGCCCTTTCAAGGAAATTACTATCTATATGTTTCAGTTTACGCAAGTACAGTTGATGTGTGTATAGAAACATTTGCTGATCGTACGTTTTAAGCATGCGCGAGCATATTCGGAGAATTTAAAAACGTACTTTGGAGTTTTTGGAGGGATTTCATCGAGTGCGGTTGGCGTCTTATTTTAATTATTCTTAAATTCGTTCATAGTGGATATTGTGAAATAAAATTGCTGTGATTTTGTGTTACAACTGTCTGCGTAACTGAAGAATTAGTGGAATCGTTAAAATATACGCTATTCCGGTCAAATGGACGTGAGAACTTTATTGTCGTGTTGACTGAAGCTTATCGAAAAAGCCAACTTGATAGATTTCGTTTAAAATATTTTTATTTTTTTATAATTTTATCTTGAGAACAAAAGATTTTTGATGTAGTTCTTTCTTTCGTTATATTTAATTTCATTCTAAGCAAAACTATATTTATGTTGATTTATCGTTAGAATGCTATTTAAGTATTATTTTAAATACAATAATTTTCGATACCTATTTGTTGCTTTATCATTATAATTGATGAATAATGGATTGCGATGTTATTGTGATATAACATAAGCTCACGGTTAAAATTTTCAAAATAGTAAAACCGATTTTTTTATGAGAAGTAACGAGTAACGGAACGATACTATAGTAACGAGTACTAATTGTTAAAGTAACGAATACATACGGGTACGCTTTTTTTCGTTACTTTTACACCTCTAAAACTCACGCACCCGGCTCTACGATGAAGTTCCCAGGGCTGCGCTCGCGCAGGCGTTCGAGCACGCTCAGTGAGTGAAATTCCACTTTAAACTTTTTGACAACCCCGTGGTCGAAGGGAATGAACACTGGCGGTTCCAATTTGTCGCCTATTCGTGAGGTCTACAGGTTCAAAACCCGGTGGGGAAAATGTTAGTATGATGAATACGAGCATTTGTAACTAAGTCTAAAAAGTCTAAAAAAATACTTTATATGTATCATTATGTATTCTGTCCATTAACCTAGCATCTCATTACAAAGCCATTTTAGTGCTTACTTTAGGGCTAGGCTAATAAAATTAGTGTGTAAAAACAAACTCACGTACCCGGCAACGACGATATATTTCCCGGGGCTGCGCTCGCGCAGGCGGTCGAGCACGCTGAGTGAGATCTTGGCCTTCGTGCGCCCGTACTGGGACACCTCGCTTGGGGACAGGCCGATCTCGTCCGCTAACTCCGCTATGTCCTTGGGCTTCTGGGAACGTGCGATCACTATATCGCTGGAAAAAAATAACATGAAAATATGGTGTATGTAATAATCACTATTTCTGATTTCTAGGTTTCAATTCTCTGTTAAATGGGGTACAGTACTGTCGCTGTGGGCTTCGCCTCCTAGCGTGCTTTTAATATTTTAGTTGTAATTAAGTACATTTAGGAGCCCGATGGCGCAGGTGGTTACCACATTCGGCCTGTGATAGTGAAAGTTATGCAACTTTCGCAATGGTCGGTCATTGGTCACCAAAAATTTATGATACCGGGCTTCCCGTGCTTCTTAAGGCACATTAAGCCTTCCGAAGCACGTTGGTCCCGGCTCCATCTGTAGTCGTTAACTACCACCAATCCGCAATAGGCCCACGTAGTGGGTCACGGCCCGGTCTCCCTATTCCATCCATAGAAAATACCTGTGCTCCTGCAGGGGGGATATTAACATTTTATTCTCATCACTTGACGCATCGCTCTAAGCCGTAACTCAAAACGGCAGAATCGTGGCCTTGGCGTTGGCGTTACAGTGCTTAGTTTGGGACTAGTTGTGAGGATAACAAGTTTTTTATTTATCATTCCTAATAACAACAAATCGGTTACCTCGGCGGCGGTGAGATCGGAGTCAACCGCAAAGGGCGCAGCGGCCACGCGGGCGCCAGCAGCTTGTCGAGCTGCCTGCGCGCCGCCTGTACCGTGTTACGCATTAGCATCGCCACCGTCATGGGGCCCACGCCGCCCGGCACCGGCGTCACGTGCGACGCGACGCCCAGCGCCTCCTGATAGGCTACGTCGCCCACTAAACGCTGTCCTGACTTCTTGGTGGGATCTAAAGATAAACACAGCTTCTGTTGAGGTCGGTCGTATTATTTTCATCGAATCGCCACCGTCATGGGGCCCACGCCGTCTGGCACCGGCGTCACTTGCGACGCGATGCCTAGCGCCTCTTGGTAGGCTATTTCGCCCACCAAGCGCTGACCCGACTTCTTTGTGGGATCCAAAGCAAACATACAAAAATGTATGTACCATGTTCCAGTCAAGAGCCGCCTGGTAAGACACATCGCCCACTAAACGCAAACCCGTTCTTTGTAGGATCTAAATAACAATACGCGTACTTTAAAATCTATCTTTGAGAAAAGATTCCGACGAATTGAGAACCTCCCCATTTTTTTCATACTCATATAATGATCGTTGAAGAGACTAGAATACCTACGAAAAATACTATAATCAAAAATGGGTTGAATTTCGGAAAAACTATTTACTCTTAACCACTAACTTTCATCAAAGTATAAAAATCACAACTACTTACCTACAGCTAAGACTTATGTTTGGCATTACTAGTGATAAACGATTTAACGATTCAATTTACCCTGTAGCCAATGAAATCCCCTTACCAATCAAACGAACTTAGTAATTCCGATCGTACGTAGTAGTAAGACCGTAGTGAGCTATGTATTTCACTATTCCTCTAAAAGAATTGCCACAGTGTGAACTTAAAAAAAAAAGATAAAAATATCGTACCGATAAAAATTTATGGTTTTCCATAGTATTTAGTATTCAGGTAAGTTAACCTCATGAGATTTCTTGTATGACTAACTTGGGACGACGTACTATATTGAAGAATTTAGTCAATATTATGACCACCGGTGGACAGTTCCGTCGATTGTGAGGGAATTAACAACAATTGCGTCCTAGTGATGTTGATTTCCTGTCGCTGTCTTTACAACCGGATCACAAACGTAAGAAACCTTATAAAAATATCTCTTATTAATTAAATTCGTCTCGATAAAATCCGAAGGACTGTTTTATACATTAAAGTATTTATTATTATTTTTAGTTAAACACGTTACACTAGCAGTAGTTTAGTTTTCAGAATCCAATGACTACCTTTTATTTTTATTTTTTTTAAGGAAGATTATAATCAGGGGCGTCGGGGATCCCTGTGTAATTTTTCCCAATAAGGAAGATCTGTTTTCCAGCAGTGTGGAGACTCATTATAAGGATTATTCATCAAGTAGTCGTTAATTATGATAGTATATAAATAATTGATGAATTCGACGGATTACTGAAGGGTGAAATGCCAAAGTCAAGATTTTTTTATCCAATTTGTATACACATAGACAACACCCGTCTTTGGAATCGGTAGTACTGTACCTGGGATGGGGTTAATCCCGCAGTCGATCACGACCGCACCAGGCTTGATCCAAGATCCCTTCACCATCTCCGCCCGTCCGATAGCCACCACCAAGATGTCAGCAGTTCTAGCCTGTATACGACATTTAACTATCTCAAGTCTTTAATTAATGGAAGGTTTACACAGGATCAGTTATTGATTCCAAGTACTGGTTTACGAGATCTAAACTGAACTAAGAGACTGGCGCTGTTTACATGGAGTTAGAAGCCGTGACTTCGGGTCCAAATCAATTTACACTATGCAAGTATCGTGTCAGCACTGACTTCATTCGAAATTGGAATTCAGCAACTTGACTCCATGTTAAACTGTCTTTAATTTAATTACTGTTTCAATCGCAGTGAGAGCTGTTCGAATTTCTACCATAATTCAAAATATATATTGCAGTTAGCGATATATTGCAGTATGTAATCCCTAAAAAACAATAAATTGAAAAAAAGAAAACCCTAAAGAAAAGCGAAAAAAACCAAGAACGCATCTTTTTAAAAGTTTATAGATAGCAGAAAAAGGGTCTGAGTACCTTCGGAAAGTAATCTAGGCGACATGGGTTGGCAGTTTGTTACAATTTTTAGACCTAGTCAATGTTATAAGTGTTGTCGTTTGAAGTACTAAACGAGTTTAAACATTGTAGTAATAACACTACATCTAGCATGGGTGATAGGTCGAACTTGTATTTTATTTCTTTTAAGTTTTAATTTGTAGTACAACACTCACGATCTCGTTTAGATTCTTGGTCTTGGAGTGGCACACGGTGACAGTGGCGTGTTCCCACTTGAGCAGCTCCGACACTGGCGTGCCGACGATCCGGCTGCGACCAATGACGACCACATTCTTCCCGGCGATTCTTACGCCAGTTCGTCGGATCAGTTCCACGCATCCCGCGGGCGTGCACGGTACGAACCCCGACAGATCGCCCACGGCGACGCGGCCTTCGTTCACTGTATTCAACCTGGGAATGTATGAGTATAAAGCATAATTATTGAAAGCAAACACCGTACGCATAACCTATGAGTACGCACGCTGCTGGACATTATAGAGTAAGTAAATAGGATCGCACAAAAGAATCCCCGTGTGATCAAAGCGAATTATGTACATGTACCTAATTTAAGCAGTACACTTTTGAAACGCGAGTGCCGTATCTTCCCTTTTTTATTTATTCTCAGGACCAGATACTTTACGAAACATGCCATATATAATATAACTCTCACCCTTCTACGTCCCTGTCTGGATACACGGCGTCGGTGATGCGGCGCGCGTCGACAGGATCCACGGAATCCTGAGGCTAATATGGTCCTTCCAGCAGGATACTTGTGTTTCGTACTCCACGCAGTCTCAATACGTACAGATGCTTTACGAAACATATCATATAACACACAATTCTCACCCATCTACATCCTTGTCTGGTGACACTGCGTCGGTGATGCGGTGCGCGTCGATAGGCTCCACGGAGTCTAGGGGCATCTGGACGATGATGCCGTGCACGCTCGGCGACTCGTTGAGGCTGTTTATCTCGTGCAATAACTATAAGAAAACATAACAAAATAATAAAGATATAAGATATATAATAAAGTAAGGTGTAGTCAGTTTTTTTTTCTTGAAGCATAAACTGCTCGATTTATAAATCTCAATTAAAGGAGAACGGTCACGCCCCTAAAGAATAAAAAATCGTAAATGTAAATAAAAAAATAACGATACAGTAGTTATGGGATATATTATCTAGGTGACCTGGAGATGCAGCTGGATTATGTTATAGTTCTTGAACTCCTGGTACAACAATGAACTTAGAATTCATTAAAATCGTCGTATTCGATGATTCATTGCAGATCAGATATTAAGGTACCTAACTACGTATCATTCGAGTTCCAGGAACTGTAACAAAAAAAAATAAAAAAAAGACTATGATTATAATGAAGTCTAAGTTCATTGTTGTACTAGGAGTTCAAAAATTATAAATTCCAGCTGCATTTCCAGGTTCTTTTCGTGTAAAACCTTTTCGTGTAGCCATTGATTTCGAGTATAAAAAATATATAATACTAGCTGTGTTACCCGCGGTTTATTACGGATATTTTCCCGCAGTAAAATGTAGGCTATATGTTAATCCAGGGTGTCAGCTAACCCCATACCAAATTTTATTAAAATCTCTCCAGCCGTTTAGACGTGAAGAAGTAACAAACATACATATTCACAAACTTTCGCCTTTACAATATTAGTGTGATGGTTAAAAAAATAACAAAAACGATATAATGTCTCGTTTCTGTCGGGTCCTAGATTGCAGATGACCGATCTTCTTTTACTGGAAAAAGTCCACTCTATTCACGTGAAAATTATCTAGCCTGAATCCTGTACTGAATGGATTCATTTATAGTTAACTTTTCTTTACAACGTAAGTATAGTAATACTCGTAAATTGTACGTGAGCCAAAGGGTGAAAGATTTTTGAGATATTTGTCATCTACTTGTATAATACAAATACCATGTACTACTGCCTGCTTACGAGTTTAATAATAATAATTTGTTTTCATTCATTGAGTTTTATTTCAACATCCCGAACATCCCGAGTTCTTGATAGTCATTGGACCTTCATAATTGGACCTTACCTACAAAAAAGTACCCATTCGACCTCCTCTATCAAGAACATGGTGCCAACTGGATCCTCAAAGACGGACTTACTTACACAATAGGACCTACTGGAGCTCATAACTTTTACTTTCACAATGCGTTGTTGCTATAGGAACTTAAGTATGTATATAAGCGGCGCATCTTTAATATTCTGCCATCTCGTCAAGAATATTGCGTGAAGTCATGGGAGAGATATTCTATTTGTATCGTACCACCACGACACTGGGCCAGGCAGACAGCTGATAATAAATAACCCACCAAGCTGCCCAGTACGGAAATTGGATCCTAAAAACAGCTGCAGACTCAGCCTAGAAACAGCGGCTCAATAAATAAATAATTCCAACACTCACACCAATTAGCCTAGCCCCAAAGTAAGCACTGTAAGGCTTGTGTTATAAGATAATAGGGTAACGGATAGAATACATAATATAAGTACATATTTAAGAATATTAAACATCCATGCAAAATGCTCGTATTCATCACTCAAACATCTGCTCCCACCGGGATTCGAACCCCGGGACCTCCTCTCGAGTCGGCGACACCATGAAACCCGGAGTACAAACCACTCGACCACGGAGGTCGTCATTTCCAGGTTGTCGGTACTTGCTTTGTGAAGTTCGAGATGAATTTATGGTCACCAACCCAATGAATGACTGATGTAAAAGTGGCTTTACTTTCACAATCACCAATAGAATGCACTAACGAGTGGGTGTGAATTCATGTGACATACAATATCAAAACAATCTTCAATATAGTCGACTTCTTACATCATACAACACTCATTTTATTACACATTGCTATCAGAAATGTCAGAGATCAGGAATTCACAGGGTTGCCATCTTATATAGGATTGTTCTGAATTTGTCCAATTTCGTCTTAAAAGTACCTAGATCGTCAAAAATAGGTTTTAAAAGTATCCATGTTAAACTTTAACTTTTTTGAGATCTCGATCTTACTTAGCTATTATTTTCTCATCAATTATAATTATTCTTATAGTTTATAGACCGGGGTCGATAATTTTAAAAATGGTGAAAAGTGAAAAAAAATTATAGTAGGATGAAACCCATTAGAAAAGGTAGAGAATATAACAAAAATGAAAGGAAAAATAAATTACGGGCGATCTGAGGTCGGGAAGGGGGAGGGGGTGAGTTTTTAAGGGTAAAAAATGGTTAATCTCGTCTTCCGGTAAAACTGCAAGTCTTATGAAAAAAAGTTAAATGGCAAAGTTGTAGGTAATAAAAAGATCTACAACTTTTGTATCGACACTTTTTTCACATAACCTCAAAATTTATGTGAAAAATGCGAATAACCGAGTTTTTGGTTTTTCATTTTTATATTTTGCAAAAAAATTCATTTTTTCACGAAATTTGGTGAAAACTTACCTTTGTATGTCCCAAAGATACAGTAATTTTTTTGATTTAAAATATTAATTTTTTCACCTTATTTTGACTCAATATCGAAAAAGCACCCTAATTTTCGATCGAAAATTCTCACGTCAAAATATCTGCTTTTTTAAAAAAGTTGGGTGGTGTTTTTTGTTTGTTGAAATCTCTACTTTCTGATGGTATAAAAAAAAATATACACTACTATGATAAATGTTCTCAGAAAATGCAAATTAATAATGAAAAAAAATGGATACCGAAAATCCTATTTTTAATACCTACTTACAACAACTATTTTTGCATGTTTTATGGATTTGTAATTTTTCTGTTTATCAATATAACATGAAATCTTACGTTTTTCGAGTAATTAAAGTGTAAATTTTAATAAATAGTTCAAAATTATACATAATGATTCAAATCAATTTTTCGGATTGGAGTTTTTTTCATTATTAATTTGCAGTTTCTGAGAACATTTACCATAGTAGTGTATATTTTTTATACCATCAGAAAGTAGAGATTTCAACAAACAAAAAACACCCCAACTTTTTTAAAAAAGCAGATATTTTGACGTGAGAATTTTCGATTGAAAATAAGGGTGCTTTTTCGATATTGAGTCAAAATAAGGTGAAAAAATTAATATTTTAAATCAAAAAAATTACTGTATCTTTGGGACATACAAAGGTAAGTTTTCACCAAATTTCGTGAAAAAATGAATTTTTTTGCAAAATATAAAAATGAAAAACCAAAAACTCGGTTATTCGCATTTTTCACATAAATTTTGAGGTTATGTGAAAAAAGTGTCGATACAAAAGTTGTAGATCTTTTTATTACCTACAACTTTGCCATTTAACTTTTTTTCATAAGACTTGCAGTTTTACCGGAAGACGAGATTAACCATTTTTTACTCTTAAAAACTCACCCCCTCCCCCTTCCCGACCTCAGATCGCCTGTAATTTATTTTTCCTTTCATTTTTGTTATATTCTCTACCTTTTCTAATGGGTTTCATCCTACTATAATTTTTTTTGGTCTCAAAAATTATCGACCCTGGTCTATTAGGAATATAGTAGTACGTAGTAGCAGTTGAGTGTATGAGTACGGATCTTAAACTTTGTAGGTACATATTTATTTAACGTAAAGTTGCGTCGTGTGAAAACGGAACCTTTAAACGAAATAAATAATAATATATTATTTTAGATTCACTATTTTAGCGATAATGGCTTGTACATTAAAAATACATATATGGTGTCGCGGACTTTTTTGTAGAACTTTTTAAGAGATACATGTTCACTCTACATTATATTCATGTAACTTTAACTGCAGCACGCCGAAATGGCTCGCAGATGGGAGATTTTTTTCTGTCTTACTTGACCCTTATTGTTATATTTTGGCCAATTCACTAAATGACTACATTAATTATTGTCCATATGTTATTATCATGTATGAGCTATATTATTATAAAGTTTCAATAAAATCCATTCAGTATTTTTAGGTGAAACAGTAACAAAGATCCATACAAACGTAAGATTGAAATTAAAAGCGCAAGTGGTTAATATACAACTTTAAATCGTTGTAGATCCTAAACAGTCATATAAAATGAAAAATGGTGCAGGGAGCCTAAACATGATCTAGACAATGATACCCCACTCGACATATTTCGTTAACTTATTTTTTTTTTTTACTTCGAAACAATATGGCGCCTAATTGTCCCCATATTGATTTTTGATTACTATCATATCTTTAGTAGCACTCCCATGATTAAGACGAATCGATTGATGTATGAATCATCAAAATCGGCCCACGCGTTTGGTCTCTAGTGTGCCACAAAGGAACAAACATACATATATAGACTGTTAAACAATATACCCTGTCTGCGCGTAGCGCTTCGCGCTCTTGCATTGCGCAGTCGGGTAAAAATAGTAATTCTCACGTTTTTTCCATAATAAAAAATAAATACCTACACACAAAATCAGTATCAAGAAATCGTCTTAAATTACCTACTTCAAATTAAATTATAATGCAGTAACCTCAAAAACTGTTAAACGGTACCATTCCAGCCTAGATCATTACAGTGGTACAGAGTGTTTTTGATCTCTACCTTACCTACTTATATAAGTGAATTACAACTGTTCTCACTATAACTGTATTTTCCACAAAACACAGAAAGAGGTTATTTTTCTTTCTACTGTGGTCCGTCCTTAGGTACCATAAGGAAAGGGTTGTGCCCCAGCAATGGGCAACTACAAAATGTTGATATTGATGAATTCACAACACAACCGATATCAAACACTTATTTTGCATTTTTAAAAACTAAAAGTAATTGTTCCTATCACTCACTTTTAATTTATTCACCAAGTGGAGTGAAAAGATTTGTTTCAGCCTAGCGTTATAATAAAAGTCTAGCAACTTCTCCACTTCTAAAATACCTCAGCCTCCGAGATGGTGTTTGGCAACCTCACGTGTTCCGCCGCTATGCCAATGTTCTCCGCAGCCTTCAGCTTCATGCGGATGTAGACGTTGGAGTCTTCCCGCCCGCCCACCTGCACAATGGCCAATTTCGGGCTGAAGGCGGGCAGGTGCCGACACATCTCCTGCACTTGTCCACGGAGCTCATCTTGGATGGACCTGCAGACCAGCTTTATTAGACATAGTTTTATTGCAATAATAATAACGCACTTTTTATGCAGAACTGCGATGGTTTTGTAACATCGAATGATTTCTGAACCGAACTAAGAAAAATTTCTTATAGTAAAGAAACTTTATAAATATTTAAAAACAAATTAACACCTAATGCACTATTTAGTATAATAACATTTAAAAAGTTAAATAAAATAAAACTATTTTTTTACGGGTTAATGCACGAAACTTTATTTATTTAAAAAGTTTTATTTTAACATTATGTGTTCTTACTACATAAACAAATTAATTGAAAATTAAAATGTTAAAAGTACGCCTGATGCAAAGCGGACAGCAAAAACACCACACTGACAGGTACGACAATTTTTTCTTATGTTTTTATTATTTACCGTGCTACTTCAGTACCCGAAACTGGTACGGCGACCATGTCTGTAATGTTCAGTCGAGATATCTCCGATGAATGTTACGTATCCCACAAAAGTTGAAGAATCATCAAGTGAGATAGTACCTATTGCGAACGACCCGAGATAACCTGGCAGACTCAGTTCAGTTCAACACTTAATATCCACTAAGCTTTACTATAAGAAATTTAGATGAGGTTGATTATAAGTCCGATTGATAACAATCATTCCTTTTGGAAGAGCTAACAAAGAGTACACTTTCTTTAATTCCTATCTGGGAATAAGGAATTTGGCACGTGAGGTCGATAAAAGAGCTTACCGCATTTTTCTACTTGCTACATTTTATTAAATCCATATTTTAACAAACATTACTTGAATATTTACTTCTACTGATTTACATACCCCAAACAATTCCTACAAAATTGCCTCATGTAATTGATACGAAACATCACAATAATTACTAAACAGTCAACACCTTTCGTCCTAAAAACTAATAATGCTGTGACTATAGAGCTTTGTACTTTGTGTTTCGTAATTAGCCACTAATTATAAAATTAACAACTTACTATTATTTTTCTTCTTAACAATTATATTGAAAGATTCGTAGTCGATGTTTACTGTAATTTACTGATGAGGCAAACAAAACAATATAAAACTCTTATTTGATCTTTTGAACCCTGCGCTGATAAGTGATCATTTCCAGACGTCATAATGAACTTTGAACTAGAAAAATATTGAATAAGCACTAACATAATAATACATTTTCTGGCCAGTCCAAACTTTTAAAGCTTATGGCTTTTAAGTAATAAAACTTTTCAATTATTTAATTGAAAAATCAAATTTCACCAATTCTATTTATAAAATCCGATCATATCCTCTTTATCATCTCAGAGGCAGTGGGACGAGCCACTCTGTTTGTGTATTGAGCGTGCTCGCCTTCTAGCGGTCTTTCAGGCTGGTTACTGGCTGCAAGCTTCAACCAATATCGAAACTTTGCTTGACAAGAGCACTCTATCTCTTACGATATCGCTTAAACTTGGCGTCAAGACTAATCATCCCCGTTCATCATAAGAAAATGTCAAAGGGGCTCACTGAAGTCACTGGTGATCAAAAGGCTGGCAGCTATGTTGGCCAACGGATCAGCCTTGCCATCCAACGTGGCAATGGTGCCAGCCTTTTGGGCACCATTCCTGATAGCGGCGCTGGGGGCGAAATATTTTTTATTTTGTAAATTATTTATTTAATTAAGTTAAGCTATATGTATACTTTTTAAGTTTATGTTATTTAAATGTCTAATTATTAAAATATATGACGATTTGTCAAATAGCTGAAGGCGCTGGCGCTCTGGTTCGAATCCAGTCAGCCTGACCTTGACCAAGAAGAGGAAAGGATTTTTTATAGTAAATTTCTCTTTAGACTTATAGGTAAATGTAGCGGTTTAGTGTATTATTAAAATATATTAATTCCAATCGATATTTTTAACCAATATATCCTAAGAGTTTATTGGCATTTTTACGTAAACGGTCGATAATTAATGCAACTGGATTTGTTCTTTGGTAGACCTTTTTTTAGTAGACCCAGTAAAGTTAATATTAACGTAATTAGGTAATATTTTAATATATTTTAATTAAGTACGCGAAATAAAAACCGAGCACTTGACTGAGTTCTAAATGAGTTTAAATTAAAAGTTAAAAATAAATTATTTGTAAGGTCCTAACTGCTGAAAGCACATAATAGTAAAATAACTCGGTTGTATTTATGTTTGTAGGCTTTTGTCAAAAAAAAAAAATAGGTAACACATAATATAAAAACAAGAAAAGTTTATTAAGTACCCTACTCTTAATTAATTATCACAAACTATCATTGGACCCAGCATTTCAATATCACTTAAAAACTGAATCTTCCCAAATTTGGTACATGGCACTACTCATATGATTATAGGGTCACCACGGCAAAGTTATAGATAATATCTATAGGTAGGTACTTTAATTTCTTTAACTTACTGCAAAACAATAGTTGGCAATTAACATGCAGGTACTTACTCAAAGATCAATTCAATTTTTTCCTTCGAACTTATCATTTTGACAAGTTCTCTGTAATAGTATCACAAAACTACCCGAGGTCTAATTTTCAAGGAAACTTATTTTAATTTACAAAAAGATAGAAAAGTTATTGATTGTTATCTTAGGGAAACAAGGCGTAAATACGTACCTAATGTCGTATTCCGGTGCCTACAATAAATTAGTTATTGGAGCGAGCCCGAGTCGGAAACTGGTCCCTAAGACCAGTTTGTAATGCATGCACGTATAGGTATAAGTACTTACTTTACTCGATTTTTAACCACAGTAGGACCCTATTGTAGATAAGTAGTAAAGTCGCTCTAGTCAAACATCCGTAGCTCGGTTAACTAAGTTATGCTACCAATACCAACGAGAAGTTTTAAATATATTATTTTATTTTTATTATGGTACACCAACAAAATACATACTTACATTATTTTGACAACCTTATTATTGAAAATACTTTGTATCACAGAACACAGAAAGTGTTCTGTGCTTTGTATGATTTTAATAAAAGGTGATTCCAATCAACTTTATAACAAATGCCATCTCTTGAATTACATCCTATAAACTACAAACACAACCAGTGTGTCAGGCTGTCAGGCACACAGCTAGAATCTTTAGTACATTATTTTTAAATGTGTGAAAGCTGTTGCCAAAATATATCGTTGTATGCTACATATTTACATTCAGCTCAAGCCGCCCGTTGCCCGCTGCCGGCAATAATTCTCTAACTGGTACTGCAGCAGGGTTGAGAGAACTATACTATTTTATGTTAACATGCTGCCCTAGCACTGCGCTTTAGATTTGCGCAAAGGGAGACGTCGAAATTTCTAAGTTAAAAGCGAGTTTGATTTGCTAAAAAATAAGTTGAAGAAATCATGGGGAGCCCTACTTCTTTTCGAAAACTTTAGGTTTCTTTTATACATCGTTACCCGTTCAAAAGATCCCGATGAGCCTTGTCACAGGCAGACAGAGAGCAGAGGCATAGTAAAAGGGTTCCATTTTTCACATAAAAGAATAAGGTGCATATCCTGGTCCCTCCTCCGTTACCTCTGGCCGAAGCCTTTCCGTCCTTCTGTCACAGCAGAAAGTTCACGTCTTCCCGCCACAGCAAAAACCATGTAGGTATGTGGTATACTTATACTAAGTGTGCCCACTAAGAAGTAGGTAACGTTTTTATATAATGTTTTCAAATTAAAGGGACTGAATAAAATATCGTCTGAATAGAATTTAAAAGTTAGAATAGGATAACATTGATTTTAGGCTTTCTGCTTTCTAAATGATAAAAGTTTTAAGAGGTTATGCATTAAAGACATTTTAAACATTGATTTTAGTCGTTTTGCTTCAAAAAGAAAGAAAGAAAGAAAAATACTTTATTTCGCGATATTCGGAAAATCTATAACTTTTTTTTTAAATACTTTCATATGCTGAAATAACCCCTGATGTTGCCCTGAGCACGCACGGGCGTCGTCCATAGAGAAAAGTAATACATAGAGAAAAGTAATACAGTAAACAACTAAATGTCATTCGCGTGTTACTGTGGGTGGATTCTTTCGTCTGACTTAATTTATCTTAAAACACTTTTAACTTTAGAAAAGTTTCCGTTTACTGATTTTTTTTTGAAAAAACTAATTATGGATGCCGGCTTTGTGAAAACAGAAAGCACAAATCTGCCAATAATTGACGCATTGATGGTTGGTGAATTCATTGCACTAAACCCCGATTTCTGCTCTGCGGAGCTCAGAGAAACGACAAGGCATCTATGTAAGTACAGTGTATTTAGTATTACAATATAGTAATAAACATAAAACTGATACAACATATGAATAAGTGTAATAAAGTTGCGTAGGTTAATTTCTTTCGGCACTTTAATCCACAACTTTCCTGGAGTCTTCAAGGATGTGTTTTTATAATCTCGTACAATACAATAATGATAATTACTTTATTTTTCGTGGTATTTATTAGAAATCATGTTTTTTTTATTATAAAGTCAGTTAAGTTATTTTCTACGTGTTTACGAGTTTTTGTTTACTGCAGTTAACGTCATAGCATAGATAATCTATAGAATAAAATGGCCGACAGCGTTTTTGTATGTCCATGAAAAATCTATTTTAAAATCAAAGATTTGCAGCTTTTTGGGTCTCAAAAAAATACAATACATTTTTTTCGATCTAATAGAACATTTATTAACCATTTAGGACCTTTTTCCAAAAAGGGTCAACTAGCCTATTGATTGACTTATTGCTATACACGTAAGAATATAGATCTTTTTTTACTTTAGACGCAATGCTGAATGCGCTGTTAGCAATATTAAGGTACGGATCCGGACCGCGAGGAAAAGAGACAGTTATAATATTACCGACTATTCATATGAATAACACAAATATTTTCTAATAAATCAGTTTATAGTAAGTATTAGAATATAATTTGCTTTAAATGCCTTAAATTAACATACATTGATTAGGTACCAGTACCCTTAGTACGAGTTTTACTATTACGAAAACTACCTATCATAGTTTTCGGGAGCTCGCACTCGTACTAAGGGTACTGATTTTATTGTTTTCGTTTCAATACAAATAAACAGTGTTTAAATTCTATCATTAAATCATATGCGTCTTCTTAAATTTTAAGTATATAGGTAATATCTCCAATAATAGCTGCAATGATCTGAAAATCATAAACTTAACCTGAAGATTTGTTTATTAGAAAAAAAACCACTAATCCGCACTGGGTCAGTTATCACCCTCCAATCCGCACTGGATCCGTTATCACCCATCAATCCGCGCTGGGTCCGTTATCACCCACCAATCCGCGCTGGGGCCATTATCACCCACCCATCCGCACTGGGTCCATTATCGCCCACCAATCCGCGCTGGGTCCGTTATCACCCACGAATCTGCGCTGGGTCCATTATCACCCACCAATCCGCGCTGGGTCCGTTATCACCCACTAATCCACGCTGGGTCAGTTATCACCCACCAAGCACTAGATTCATGTATTTTGTGACGGGTATTGTTCATTGTTTACCGATGAGTCACCAATGACACTAATCGTAACGCGAAATCATAACACATTCGCCAGTTTACCTCCTAGTCAAGCGTGCCTAAAGAAGTTTTACTTCAATAATTATATTCTTATGTCAATTAAAATGGTATTTCCTTTAGGTAAACTGGTATATGAGATAAATATATGGCAGCTTTGTTTAAAAAAAAAATATGTAATATATTTGTTGTGAGATGGTTATTATTAGCTATGCATTCTTAAAAAAGCTTTAGTTTTAAATAAATAGCGATGCATCGTGAACTTAAATTGTTACTAATATAACAATATTTTACTATTTTGCTGTGCAATAAGTATTTTTGCATAGGATTGGGAATTAATTTTTATACAAAATGTCAGTTTTTTGATTTGCAGTTAAATACTAGCCTTTAATATCGTCTTCGTGCGATACACACTACGAGAAATCGTTACGATCAGACTGTACAGTTCGAACGGAACAGTTTATCGTACGTGGTGTACGTATAGAAAACTGTGCAGTTTTTTAAAAAAATATGTAATATATTTGTTGTGAGATGGTTATCTCACAACAAATATATTACATATTTTTTTTATAAACAAAGCTGCCATATTTTTATCTCATATACCAGTGTACCTAAAGGAAACACCATTTTAATTGACATAAGAATATAATTATTGAAGTAAAACTTCAGGGGAAGGGTAAACTGGAGAATGTGTTACGATTTCGCGTTACGATTAGTGTCATTGGTGACTCATCGGTAAACAATGAACAATACCCGTCACAAAATACATGAATCTAGTGCTTGGTGGGTGATAACGGACCCAGCGTGGATTGGTGGGTGATAATTGACCCAGCGCAGATTCGTAGGTGATAACGGACCCAGCACGGATTGGTGGGCGATAATGGACGCAGTGCGGATGCGTGAGTGATAATGGCCCCAGCGCGGATTGGTGGGTGATAACGGACCCAGCGCGGATTGGTGGGTGATAACGGATCCAGTGCGGATTGGAGGGTGATAACTGACCCAGTGCGGATTGGTGGTGATTTTTCTAATAAACAAATCTTCAGGTTAAGTTTATGATTTTCAGATCATTGGAGCTATTATTGGAGATAATGGGACCGATTCTGGCGTTACATTGTCTAAAGCTAAACTTAAAATTAGAGAGCTAATTTTAGTTTAGCTTTAGAGAATTGCTATTCTGAAATTGCGAACTATTTTTTTTTTTTTGTTGAAGTTCTCCCGTTTTAGGCAAAGGGAACAATGCCCATACAGCCTGGTCTTTAATTAAATTTATCTTCTTTTTGTTTTTACATTAGAATGTCGGTGTGACGCATTCTAATGTTTCTTGGAGTGTTTGGCACGGAATGTATCGAGTTGGCTTTTTCGATAAGCTTCTGTGAGGTAGTCAACACTACAATAAAATTCTCACGTCCACTTGACCGGAATAGCGTATATTTTAATGATTCCACTAATTCTACAGTTACGCAGACAGTTGTTACACAAAACCACACCAATTTTATTTCACAATATCCACTATGAACGAATTTAAGAATAATTAAAATAAGACGCCAACCGCACTCGATGAAATCCCGCCAAAAACCCCCCGAACTAACTAACACAGTTGACAGGTGTAAACGAACATTTAAATTGAATTCACAGATTATGTAAGAGCATTGAACCGGTAATTATCGGTTTACTCAAATAAGCAATAATTACTTATTATTCAGTGATATTGACTTATTTAGTAATTGTTTGTTGTTCTTCATCATCTTTAAATTATGGAAACTTAATATTAGTTTGTTATTTTACTGTATGAGAAATTATGAGTCAATATTATAGAATGAATACTTGCCTACTCTGTGGTACTTAGGGTTTCTAGATTGGGAGTGTTTATCCTTATTTTGGGGAAAA